TTAATCATTCCCAACATAACATTCTCAGAAGTAATTTGGAACATTCTTTTTCTAGCCAACTCTGACTTACTGATAGGTATCTGTGAAGCTAGCGACAATAAGCAACATCTGGTGATTCTGTTTCAAAATAAATGTCCTGTGACAAAACTTTGCAACAAATTAATGTTGGTCTGTAGTTTGTTTTGGAAACATGTCCAACATGTCAGCATGTCAAAACCTCCCGCCAAATTTGTGTTTTGATGCACCAGTGCTTTAAATAACATAGGTTAGAGGTGCTTTAGCCTTTCTGTGTATCTCTGAGACCTGGATTCTAACCTTTCTAAGGTCTCCCAGCAGATCCCCCTAGGAAGCGGGTGGACTCTCCCATGCTGACCCGTCATGGCCGGTGCCGGCCGGAGAGGAAGAGTCTGGAGGTGCTGAGTGTGACGGAGCAGGGCTCCCCCACACCCACGCGCAGGGCGCTGGACACCTCTGCACACAGCCAGAGGTTAGACAGATATACACACACACACACACACACACACATACACACACACACAGCTCGCACATAAACACACACACATGCACACCGAATATGCACACACATATGCACACAGTGTTGTTACGGAAAAAACACATGATTTCACATGTGGATAATCACATGATTTCACAGGTGAAAGTTCCACGTTTTGTACAAGCAAATTCTATTTCACATGTGAAACCATGTGGTTTTGGAACACTTCACATGTGATGATAATTCACGTGAAGTTTCACATGTGATTTTCACGTGATTACATAACCTTTCACATGTGGATTCAAATATTCATATGATGCCCTGCAAACAAAAAGTTAATAGGATGTCCCCAGAACGTCACTAAATTGCTACGGTGTTTTCCACTTAGATATTTGACACACATGATTACATTGTGTATTTGTACAGTAATTATTATTCAACATGTCCTCACCTGGGATTTGAACTCACAACCTTTTAGTTCATAGCATTACGATCTTCCTGTTACGCCACCATGTCTGTGTCAATGACTGATTTCACGTATTCCTACACTTTGGACTTCAAAGTAAATCTCAGCTTTGTATAATACACTCAAGAAAAACGATTATATTGATATTCAGGAGTAACCTTAAAACAGAATAATATGCCCCACTAACATAAGACAACTATACAGAAAACCCTCAAATTGTTGAGATAAATAAATGAAATCAATGATGAGAGAATAGTCAGATTAACTGATAACTACAATAGCAGTGCAGATGGCACACTTTTTCTATGTGCAGAGATGTATTATAGGTAATGAATGTGTATGTGACTTCTTAGAATGCTACAGACTTTGTGATGCAGCAGAAAGATCAGCGTAACCCAAATCCAGAGGTTGTGAGTTCAAATCCCAGGTGGGGTCATATTGAGAAGTCAGTACTAAGTGATTATGTCAAATGTAGTCATTGATGAAAGATTTGTACACCTTTTTAGTACACATTTTAGCTCAACAGCATACCATTTAGCTTAAAACCCCCATGCCATTTCATTACTTCCCTTACAAAAACACGTGAAATTTGCAGTTTCACATTATGAAGCTGAAATTGAGCTGAAATCTTCACATGAGAAAATAAGAAGCACATGTATTCAATATAGAGTTCACATGTTAACACCTTTTCACATGTGAGGAGTATAAAATGTTTTCACCTCACATGTGAATTGCAGATTCACATGTGGATTTTGCACTTTCACATGTGAAAAACTTTCAGACGTGTAAATTGAATTTGCACTTTCATATGTGACCGACCGGCTCGATTCGGTCTTATGTAGCAACATTTGAAATGGTGAGACTAGAGATAGAAAATTGTATATCATACACTACAGTTGAGGAACAATGGGAAAGTAAATCAGCTTTGAAAGTTGATCAACTTGTTACCTCACTTTTGAGAAAATGGCCTTTGAATGTTTTGGTACACCTACTGGAGAGCTCTTCTTTGTCTACACCCATTCAGCATCGTTCACACCCTCTTTCCCACCCATCTCTTTAAGGATTCACATGTGAGGCCATGTACTAAACAACCAAAGATTTCAAGACTAAAGGCTGGTTTATACTACGGGTGTGTTCGTAAATTTCATCTGGAGTGCCAGAGTGTGCTCTGGGCGTTCGTAAACTCAGAGCGTTGTCAGATTGTCCGTTCGTAAATTCAGAGCCTTTCGCTCTCGGAGTGTTCAGAGCGCACACTAGACGCTCTGGCCGAAGAATTAGGGTTGATCCGAGCGTTCTGTCCTAACAACAGTCGTCAAGCACCCAAGCTAACTGGCTAACATTGGCTAGCTTTCTAGCTACTTCCAGACACAAATGAGAGTACAGCTCACTCTGACCATTTTACTCGCCCTAGCAGAGCTGGTTAGGCTGTTTTTATGTTATCCAGAGCGTTGGTGACTGCAACTGTGCTGCTGGCAACAATGTAATTACGCTTTTTTGCCAACGTTTACTGACACCGGCCATATTCAACGGGTGTTGAGCGTTCGTAAATGTGTCAATTATTGTGCGCTCTGGCACACTCAGACGAGAGTGCTCTGAAATCGGAGTAGATAGCCAAAGTGAATTTACAAGCTATGTCTATCGACAGTTGTCGCAGTGACATCATGAACATTCTATTAAAATGGTTACTTGCATAGTGGAGTCTTTTGTTTAGACATATAGCTAGCTAGCTAAACAATTAACCATAATCCCAACTCATAACGTTACTACCCTGCATGAATCTGCAGGTACAGTGGCTTGCGAAAGTATTCCAGGTTGCCTTACAACCTGGAATTAAAATCGATTTTTTGGGGGGTTTGTATCATTTGATTTACACAACATGCCTACCACTTTGAAGATGCAAAATATTATTTATTGTGAAACAAACCTTGAGCGTCAAAGTCAATACTTTGTAGAGCCACCCTTTGCAGCAAGTACAGCTGCAAGTCTCTTGGGTTATGTCTCTATAAGCTTGGCACATCTAGCCACTGGGACCTTTGCCCATTCTTCAAGGCAAAACTGCTCCAGCTCCTTCAAGTTGGATGGGTTCCGCTGGTGTACAGCAATCTTTAAGTCATACCACAGATTCTCAATTGGATTGAGGTCTGGGCTTTGACTAGGCCATTCCAACACATTTAAATGTTTCCCCTTAAACCACTCAAGTGTTGCTTTAGCAGTATGCTTAGGGTCATTGTCCTGCTGGAAGGTCTCAAATCTCTGGAAGACTGAAACAGGTTTCCCTCAAGAATTTCCCTGTATTTAGCGCCATCCATCATTCCTGCCGATGAAAAACATCCCCACAGCATGATGCTGCCACCACCATGCTTCACTGTGGGGATGATGTTCTCGGGGTGATGAGAGGTGTTGGGTTTGCGCCAGACATAGCGTTTTCCTTGATGGCCAAAAAGCTCAATTTTAGTCTCATCTGACCAGAGTACCTTCTTCCATATGTTTGGGGAGTCTCCCACATGCCTTTTGGCGAACACCAAACGTGTTTGCTTATTTTTTTCATTAAGCAATAGCTTTTTTCTGGCCACTCTTCCGTAAAGCCCAGCTCTGTGGAGTGTACAGCTTAAAGTGGTCCTATGGACAGATACTCCAATCTCCGCTGTGGAGCTTTGCAGTTCCTTCAGGGTTATCTTTGGTCTCTTTGTTGCCTCTCTGATTAATGCCCTCCTTGCGCCTGGTCTGTGAGTTTTGGTGGGCGGCCCTCTCTTGGCAGGTTTGTTGTGGTGCCATATTCTTTCCATTTTTTAATAATGGATTTAATGGTGTTCCGTAGGATGTTCAAAGTTTCTGATATTTTATTATAACCCAACCCTGATCTGTACTTCTCCACAACTTGGTCCCTGACCTGTTTGGAGAGGTCCTTGGTCTTCAAGGTGCTGCTTGCTTGGAATACCTGGGATAGGATAAAGTAATCCTTCTACCCCCCCCCCCCCCAAAAAAAAAAAATTGTAAAGTGGTTATCCCACTGGCTATAGGGTGAATGCACCAATTTGTGAGTCGCTCTGGATAAGAGCGTCTGCTAAATGACGTAAATGTGCCCTTGAGCAAGGCACTTAACCCTAATTGCTCCTGTAAGTCGCTCTGGATAAGAGCGTCTGCTAAATGACTAAAATGTAAATGTAAATGTAAAATGTGATGCCCCTTGCTTGGTGTGGTGTTGCAGACTCTGGGGCCTTTCAGACAGGTCTATATATACTGAGATCATGTGACAGATCATGTGACACTTAAGATTGCACACAGGTGGACTTTATTTAACTAATTATGTGACTTCTGAAGGTAATTGGTTGCACCAGATCTTATTTAGGGGCTTCATAGCAAAGGGGGTGAATACATATGCACGCACCACTTTTCCATTATTTATTTTTTATAATTTTTTTTAACAAGTTATTTCACTTCACCGATTTGGACTATTTTGTGTATGTCCATTACATGAAATCCAAATAAAAATCCATTTAAATTACAGGTTGTAATGCAACAAAATAGGAAAAATGCCAAGGGGGATGAATACTGGCACTGTAGCTAACCAACCAGGTTCAATGTTAGCTAGCTAACATTAGGCTATAACTAGCAATGCAAATGGCTCTGAGATACGAATAATATTAGTACACAGATCATACACGTAACGTTAGCTAGCGAGCCAGCCAGCTAATGTTTGCTTGCTAGCTAACAGTACACGTTAACTTTAAATGAAAACAACTTTCTGATAAAATTAGAAATGTGTAATATCTGAAAATGTAGCTAGCTAGACTATCTTACCCGTATACATGGATGGATGCTTCTCCCCATCCGTCACGGATGCCTTTGGTTTCCCTTAGTTTGAAGATGTAATCCGGAGACAGGTGTGTTCTCCTTTTGACTCCGTCTGCATATTTGCAATCAAACGCCAGAATTTTCTCCATCTCCTTAGCTATCATACTCTAATTCCACTGATTTCAAAACTCGGTCCTCCAGAAAGTGGAAAGCAACACTTATGCAGTTCTGCTACGTGACATCTTTAAAAAAAGTTGCGTTAGAAAGGATTACCAATACATACTGACCAGCTCATGTTATAGACAGAAGCGTGCTACATGGCAGACCAATCTGAACTCGTCTCTCGGCATGTCCAGCCCACTCATTATCTCAGCCAATCATGGCTAGCGAAAGGTTGCTGTGTTTTTCCGTGGCTAAACCAACTAGGCTCGTAATTTAACAATTGTATTTGTATTTACAGATGGCATACAAGTTTGTTATTAAGGCACATGAAAGTTCACATGTTCCAGAAGGCATTTCTGCCAAAAAACGCATTTTGATTTTTAAAAAAGTTTACGTTCTCCTGTGAAGTAGTGACGCGCGACATATGCCTAGATTCCTGAAGTGAGTGACATATGTGAACAGTTCTCACATGTGGATTTGCATTTTCACATGTGAAAAACTTTCACGTGAATATCGGATTTGCACTTTCACATGTGAAAAACGTTGAAATGTTGTGACACGTGTAGTTTCATGTTATCACATGTTGCTTTGACATGTTTTCACGTTATCACATTAACTTAACGTAAGATCACATGTGATCACGTGAAATTTATGTGGTTTTTCCATAAGGGGGACCATGCTATGTGTTTCTGTACCAGTGTTGTCTGATAGTGGTATTTTGTCCTCCAGGTCTCGTTCTGTCAGTGGAGCTTCAACAGGGCTCTCGTCAAGTCCCCTCAGCAGTCCCAGGGTAAGTCACGATTGGCCAACTCTTATCTTATCATGCTTGGCCAACTCTTATCTTATCATGCTTGGCCAACTCTTTTACAAATGGACACACATTTACACTACCTGATTATAATTATAAAGGTAGTTCTACTGTAGAATTGATAAAATACCATACCTGTAATATCAGTATATTTTTGTACATAAGTATATTTTGGATTTGATGAACTCACATTCAGATGAGACTACCTTTTGTTCATGGTGAAATGTGCTTACTGCACAGCTACACTACTGTGATTTGATTGCGTTTCTCTGTACTGAACTGAATTGTAATTGTACCTGTTCTTCTGAGACTGTCACTTGTCCTGACTGTCCATCACCCTCATACTGTCCCATTCTGAGCCATTACCCATACCATGGACACCATCACATACACACACACACAAATGCACGAACGGACGCGTGCACACACACACACACACACACAGCAATAGTAAGGGAGTCACACAAGAGACACACACAGATAAGATCACATATTAGCCCTCAAATTGAAAGGGCCTCTGGACCTATATTCAAAATGGACTCTATTCAATTTACATAATAAGATAAATAACAGAATATTCATAATTTGATAAATCTCTACAATTAGAAATGTAATTACAATCAGAAGTCTACAGTTTATTCATAAATCATAACTCATGACCATTGCTCTCTTCATCTTTCCATCTTTCCTTCCCTCCTTCCCTCCTCTCCATCCCTCTGTCCTTTCTCTTCCCACCCATCAGAGCCCAGTTTTCACTTTCAGCCAATCAGAAGTCACCTCCGCCTCCACCACCCACTCCAAAGACCCCAAACCAGGAAGTGCAACCACTCCCCGGCCGACACAACGGACGACCGTGCCCGACCCCAAAACCCAGACCCTACCCTCCAAAGGGCTCTCTGATCGCCCCCACTTTCAGTCCATGAAGTCACTACCTCTCCAAGCTCCCCCCTCTCCGTCCCCCTCACCCATCCTCTCCCCCATCCCTCGCTTCTTCTTTTTCCCCGCCCCCTCCGTCTTTAAGTCGGTCACTAAGAGCACCTATCCTAACTCTGCCCCTGTGCCACAGGTCACCCCTCAGGGGTCTCCACTCCCCACCCCCCTGGGCACCCCCGTCCACCACCCCCAGCACCCTCCGCCCACTCCTCCCTCTTCCTCCTCTTCCTCTTCCTCCTCGCGGGCGGAGGGAGGCGGCGGGGGCGGGGGTGGATCCCTCTCCCTTACCCCACCCTCAAGCCCCGGAGGCAGCGGGGGGATGGCCGCCAGTAGCTCTGCCCACTGGAGGACACGCCTCAACTCCTTCAAGAACAATCTGCTGGGATCGCCACGCTTCCACAGACGCAAACTGCAGGGTGAGAGAGAGGGGGGAGTGTGGGCAAGCTGCAGTGTGAGAGGGGAGGGGGGGGGGGGTATGGGCAAACTGCAGGGGGAGAGAGGTGAATTCTATTTCAATTCAGGAATTTGGCAATTCGATGTATTTCATTTCATTTGATGGAGTCAAAATGGAATTGGGCCAAACCTTGATGTTTGGATATCTAAACTAAATTATATGATATAAACAATTATATGCATTGTGATTCATATTTTAAATCAAATCAAATCAATTGATTACAGTGCAGTATACCTAACAATACAAAACAATAAACACAAATCCCCAAACTAAAAATAAAGAAATTAAGAAATATCAGAACAAGCAATGTCAGAGTCCGGAATATAAATATATATGGATATAATGGTGTGTATAGACAGTATGGACAGTATATGAATAGGAAAGGTGTGTTACAGCCTGAATTCAAAATGGATTAAATATATATTTGTTTCTCACCTGTCTACCCCCAATAACACATCATGACAAAGTGAAAACATGTTTTTGTAAATTTATTGAAAATGAAATACAGAAATATCTAATTTACATAAGTATTCACATGTTAGAATCACCTTTGGCAGCGATTACAGCTGTGCGTCTTTCTGGGTAAGTCTCTAAGAGCTTTGCACACCTGGATTGTACAATATTTGCCTATTATTATTTTATAAATTCTTCAAGCTCTGTCAAATTGTTGGTTGATCATCGCTAGACAACCATTTTCAAGTCTTGCCATAGATTTTCAAGCAGATTTAAGTCAAAACTGTAACTCAGCCACTCAAGAACATTCACCTTCTTCTTGGTAAGCAACTCCAGTGTAGATTTGGCCTTGTGTTTTATGTTATTGTCCTGCTGAAAGGTGAATTAATCTCCCAGTGTCTGATGGAAAGCAGACTGAACCAGGTTTTCTTCTAGGATTTTGCATGTGCTTAGCTCCAATCTGTTTCTTTTTTTAATCCTGAAAAACTACCCAGTCTTTAACGATTACAAGCATACCCATAACATGATGCAGCCACCACTATGCTTGAAAATATGGAGAGTGGTACTCAGTAATGTGATATATTGGATTTGCCCCAAACATAACACTTTGTATTCAGGACAAAAAGTGAATTGCTTTGCCACAATTTTTGTAGTATTACTTTGGTTCCTTGTTGCAAACAGGATGCATGTTTTGGAATATTTTTATTCTGTACAGGCTTCAATTAGGTTAGTATTGTGGAGTAACTACAACGTTGTTGATCCATCCCCAGTTTTCTCCTATCACAGCCATTAAACTCTGTAACTGTTTTAAAGTCACCATTGGCCTCATGGTGAAATCCCCTAAGCGATTTCCTACCTCTCCGGCAACTGAGTTAGGAAGGATGCCTGTAACTTTGTAGTCAATGGGTGTATTGATACACCATCCAAAGTGTAATTAATAACTTCACCATGCTCAAAGGGATAGTCAATGTCTGCTTTTTTCCCCCCATCTACCAATAGGTGCCATTAGAAAACCTCCCTGGTCTTTGTGGTTGAATCTGTGTTTGAAATTCACTGCTCGACTGAGGGATCTTACAGATAATTGTATGTGTAGGGTACAGAGATGAGGTAGTCATTCAAAAATCATGTTAAACACTATTATTGCACAGAGAGAGTGAGTCCATGCAACTTATTATGTGACTTGTTAACCACATTTTTTCTCCTGAACTTATTTAGGCTTGCCATAACAAAGGGGTTGAATACTTATTGACTCAAGACATTTCAGCTTTTAATTTTTAATTAATTTGTAAACATTTCTAAAAACATCATTCCACTTTGACAATATGGGTTATTGTGTGTAGGCCAGTGGAAGAAAAAAACCTCAATTTAATCCATTTTAAATTCAGGCTGTAACACAACAAAATGTGGAAAAAGTGAAGGGTTGTGAATACTTTCTGAAGGCACATAACTAGAATACAGTATATACATATGAAGTGGGTAAAACAGTATGTAGACATGATTAAAGTGACCAGTATGTGCATATTCTCTTCTCAAAGTAGCCACAGTCTCTTCTACCATTGCAGAAGGACCGTAGTGTACTATACGGTGCTCAAATTAATTAGACAGATTGGTAATTAAATCAATGAAACTGAATCTCATCAAGTGATGTCATCAAGTTCTACTTCCCTCTCTCCCTCTCCACCCTCTCTCTCTCTTTCTCCTTCTTTTTCTAACTTTCCCTCTATATATAACTCCCCCATCTCTCTCTCTCTGACTCTCTCTTCTTTCTCTCTCTCTTTCTTCCCGCCCCCTCTCTCTCTTTCTTTCTCTCTCCATCTCTCTCCTTTTGCTCTCCTGTAGTTCCAACACCGGAGGACATGTCCAGTCTAACTCCAGAATCAAGTCCAGAGTAAGTAGATAATCATAGACATACACAGTTAGTCTATCTATATCCATCAGTATGACTGTCCTGCCTGTCATGTAAAATGCTATCTATCTGCTAGCCTGTAACACGTTTCTATGCTGCATGTTTCGGTAACACTTCATATCAACTTCCTTGAATAAGCCATTATAAATACTTATAAATGTTCATAAGCATCTATATCTAACATGCATTTTAAATGTAGACTCTTAAAAATATAAAAATATGAATATATAACTATTAAGAATGCTTCTGAATTGCAGGCTGGCCAAGAAGTCGTGGTTTGGGAACTTCATCAGCCTGGAAAAGGAGGAACAGATATTTGTTGTCATTAGAGACAAACCACTTAGTTCCATCAAAGCTGATATAGTCCATGCCTTCTTGTCTGTAAGTATCTCTTCCTCTATCCTCATTCATTCTTCCTCTCTATCTCTCTCTCTGACAACTCTCTCTTTCTTTTTCTCTCTCGCTCTCGCTCCCTCTATCTCCTTCTCTTTAATTCTGTATCTGCACCTTCCCGTCACTCAGTTTCCGTGAAAGGCCTGTACAGCCATGATGCAAAGATACACAACCACATTCATAAAACATGAACAAATAAACATTGATGAACATCTTGTAAGGCTTGTAAAGCTGTTTCCACCTCTGTTTCCAATGCTGTGTTTTTACATGACATCTGTCCAGATCCCGTCCCTGAGTCACAGCGTCGTCTCCCAGACCAGCTTCAGAGCAGAGTATAAGTCCTCTGGCGGCCCCTCCGTCTTCCAGAAGCCCGTTAAGTTCCAGGTGGACATCGCCTTCTCTGAGGGAGAGAGGGAGAGAGAGAGGGAACGAGCCGAGAGGGAAGGGAAGAGAGAGAATGGCATCTACAGTGTGACTTTCACCCTTATATCAGGTAGTGGTTCCCAAACTTGTTTGTGATACAGTAAGACTTTTTTAAAGTGTTCTTGCGACCCACCAAGGGGCAAATCCTAACTTTCACTTAAGGCGAATTGTCACTTAGTTATGAATTGATGTCAATGGGAATAGGATTTTCAAGTGAAAATTTGACTTAAGCGGAAGGTTAGGATTCTCTTGAAGTTACAGTTTAATTAGTCTATGAGACTTTTGTTGGCAAAAATGTGTAATCAGTGTTTGGCATGATTTTATCCTATATTTTATCCTATAATATATCCCCAACATATACCATGAAACTGTCAGGAGACAGTTAACAGAACTCATTATACATGTAGGTAATTCATCTTAAAGTGATGCGGGGCAGTGTATACCTTGACTGAGTGTTTGTCTGTCTCCTTAGGTCCAAGTCGCAGGTTCAAGAGAGTGGTGGAAACGATTCAAGCCCAGCTACTTAGTACTCATGATCAGCCATCTGTGCAGGCACTTGCTGGTGGGTCCCCTCACACACACACACACACACACACACACACACACACACACACACACACACACACACACACACACACACACACACACTATTTATATCTCTGTCTTCATCAAACTCATGTCTTTCTATCTTTTTCTCCCCAGATGAGAAGAATGGGCAACTGACCTCGCGTCCGCCCGGCACCCCGACCCGGCAAAACTCCCGACGTTCGGAAGGAGGTGGGGACCGGGGGGAGAGGTGTGAGCGTGGTGACGCAGGGATAGGGGGCAGCGGGAGCGTACTTCAAAGGAGGGGCTCGGGCAAAGACAAGACCAGACTCCTTTCCTCCAACGGGACACAGTCCCAGCCCTGAGGGAACATTGTGGAAACAGACATCAACAGGACACGATAGGGCAGAAAGATAAAGAGAGATGACCCTAGAAAACAACACAGACAAACCCCCTCAGACTACCACCATCACCACTACCACCGTCACATCTACCGAACCATCTGACCCAGCAATCATCATTACAAACCACTGCTTCAACCTGAAACGGGCCCAAGAAGATAGTTGGCCACCAAGATAGAAGAAAGAAAAGACGAGAGGAAAACGCAGTGTCGCTCATAGATTCGCTTCAGAAGAGAAGCCAAGCTCAGAAGAATGTCTAATTGTGCATTTGAAGTACAGTGCATCATGCAACTGTCAACAACAATATGTAGCCAGTAAAATAATCAGGCAGACTTATATGGGGAATGGCAGGCTCTGAATGGTTAAAAGCTAAATAGATTTTTTTTTTTAAGTTATCCGGTCTACAACCAATAAAATCAAAGCTCTTTGTGGAAATTCAGAAATAATATCAACAATTATAACAGTGTTTCCCAGTTGACGCGGATCCACTTTTAAGTTTTACCTAACATCGCTTTTTGAGTCAGTGAGAGTGAAATATTATGGGTCAAGTCAATTTAGTGGATATCAAGAAAACAGACAGGTTGGGTCCTTTAACTGGATTCTCAGTAACGATAAGTTACGAGAACAGAAACATGGTAGAATTTAAGATAATGATGAGGAAGACTGCATCAAAATCAGAATGAAGCGTCCAAATGCATCTTTGCAACCAAGTAGCTCCAAAGATGTCAATACAGCTATTTGAACAAAATAAAGACAAATATCTGTTTTCTCTATAACTAAGCACCACACTTGTATGATTCCTAAAATACAATTCAAACAAACCATCTTGCCTTTAAATTAGGATTAAGCAACGGATATCTCTACAGATATCACCCAAGTTGAAGAAAAAGAACAGACAAGGCATGGAAGAAAGTCTCAACGCCCCCACTACAACTGACATCTGGAACATGGAGAGATTTCAAACAGATAATGGAACGATATAATTAGAATCATTAGAGTAATTCTAATACTATGAATGGAACCCTCAGCAGATCCTTTGAATGATGAGCACTTCAGCCCAATGGAAGATGAAGATGTTGTAGTTCACAGCAAGTTACCTTCATCAGTTGTGTTCATTCCAAGAGGACTGAACCAAGCCCTCCACATCCATTATTGTCTTCTACAGAAACCAACCAACCCTCCCTACTCCCTTCCATTTCCAATATGGCCGACATGGGGCACTGAATGATGCGGCTTTTGAAAAGGCCTACACATCTAAAATGACTTGTTCTGTTCAGAGAGCAGAAAGAGGGAGGTGAGGAGGTAGAAAAGCTAATTTCAAGAAACAAAAAGAGAGACTTTGACTTAAGGATGACAGAGAGAAAAACATTGAAACCGCTGCATACTCATTCCCAGGAGAGGAAAGAAACAGACCACACACAAAAAAGAATGAAATCCATTTAGTTTTTTGTTTCCTTTTTCCTTTTGTTTATGTGATTTGAGCGCAAATGAGTTTGATGTTTGCCGCCAAACAAAATGGAGGATAACGCTAACCAAGTGAATGTCAAAAACAAAAAACACTATTGTAAAAGTAATTATTTATTTTATTTATGTCATAGATTTATTTAATATTTATTTGTTGATTTATGTATTGTAAAGAGGAAAGATAGTGGAAAGGGAAGATGCTAAAGAATAGAGGTTAAAGTTCTGTTGGAATATTGGAACAGCATTGAAACTGACAAAATGGCTGCTGTAGTTGAAACCAGATTGAACCGTCTTTTCCACCTTTTGTTGTATTTTTTTTTTTTTTCTGTCTTTGTTTGGTATAATGAAGATGATTTCACATTTAAAGCAACAAAACACATTTTAAGAAATGAACCAAGGATAGATTTGATGCTTAGGGAATTTCTGGGATGGCAAAAAATATGAAAATCTTCCATGAAGTAAATAAAATATAATCTCATAGACACTTGAAAAAGCAGAGGAGAGCAGGAAGGGTGGGGGTAGTAATCTCCAATTCCTTCCCTGTCATATTCTGCTAGAATGTTGTTACTTAAGGGTACAAAGATATGGACACACCACATAAAAACACTGACTGAGGGCCCAACCCCACGTGCAGAACACAAGCAGTATTCACACACACACGGACCCTCCGAAAACAGAAACCCTCCTGTTCTTTCAGAGAAAAAAAACTATTAAAAACTGGACCTTAAAATTGGAATGCACTGTCCTAAAAGACACAAAACAAATAAAGTAGTTTCCCCCTACCATCCCTTCGCCCTTGGCCACTGACATAACCCCCCCACCCCCTTCATTACGACCCCCCTCACACCCCTTCCCCTTGCACAGAGCACCAAAAGAAAAGGCAGGTTTCGTTCTAGTCACTCCCTAGTCCCTCGTCGTCAGTCGACACCTTGTTGTTTCATGCCACTGCCTTTAAGCCCCTATTATCAATCTCACCCTGCCGCCCCTATTATCAATCTCACCCTGCCTCACCATTCCTTGGCTGTGACCACGACACAGTAACTAAGACTCATCGCCGCACGGTATACCACGTCCCCATCAGCCATCATCACACTTCATATCAGTCAGAGTCAACACACTGCTACCATAGCACACAGCTGCTCGTACAGCAAACAAGGCGATTCTGTAGCTAGGAGACGTAGAACAGTAGGTTATTGTAACTCTTTACTTAGCATAATCTCTGTCTATATCGGCTGTACTGTACACTTCATTGGTGTGAAACAGCTATTTACCATGATAACGAAAAGAGTGGGAGGAAGTCTTCCTCTATTTCCTTACCTGGGGCTTGTCTCGCTCCCCTTCCACACAGCAAAGAACATGATTATAGGTTGTTGACTTGAGTAGCTCACCTCTCATTGTAGCTCACCCTTCACTCAAGGACTTTTGGCAGGAATCATGTACCCATTTTCCTACTATCGTGCCGACCTGGACCGTACTGTGCTGTCTTAGATATTTTCCTTTCACATTGTCCTTTCCAGCATGGTTCCAGGAACTATTGTGAATGTGTAACCAGGCTAGCCGAGCTAGTCGCCAATGAAATGCTGCATGACCCTACTGGAAAGCAATGTGGCCCCATAGGTGATGATGACAGTGAATGTTTTTTTACTGCATTAATATAGGTGGCATATGAATCCAGCACCGTCCTGCACAGAATAGTAGTAGTAAGAGTTTGCATAGCCAGGAATGAGTTTGGGCGCCTTAAGATGATGCGTACGGAGGGAGGTACATGCCTGTTATATTTGCTTGACCTGTCCGTGTGTGTGTCCCATGTCTGTGAGTGTGTATGTGCATGACTTCTCCGAGCCCTCATCCTCCCACCCGCCACATTCTAATGCTAGGTCAGAGGTCAGGGGTCATTTGAATGGGAGTGAGATGTGACACAAAGTTTTACCCACGACCTCACAGTCTTTCATTCTCCATTAGCCCGTGCTAAAAACAAGAGAGGGATAGTGGGAGACAGTGTTACCCCTAACATTGTATAGGTGGGGTAGGCCTCTCCCTGCCTAGCTCTGTTGCTCCACGTCTAAAAGAGTTTGGCTTCTAATGGTTTCAATTGGCGTTGTTGAGGCCAGAGGGCCTGGACGTTGCTGTTACTGAGAGCTTTTACGCCCGGCCTTGCCTCGCCTGAAAACAAAAACTAGGGGAAATACTGGCTGGAGACACAACTAGAGCGAAACCCTTCTTAGACATTCTGTGTAAATAACCGTTCAAAGTAAACAATGGGATGAGGGGGAGATGTTTCACCCCCATTGTGGGTGATTCTTACAACGAAAAGGTCCCCTCTCTCTCCAACCACCCCAACTCCCTCCTTGCCCCCTCCTACACCCTCATTATCTCTTTGTATCTCTTCTTGAACCCCCCCACCCTCTCATCCAGATGAAAATACCTCAACCCCACCCCATCCTTATATAATCACACCCCTCCCCATGTCTCTGTCCATTGTATACAGTAAGTATGAAACCATATCTTGATTCTTTATTCACACTGTACTCACAATATGATTATTGTTGTCATCATTATTGATCTTTCCAAGATTGTAAAGCCCCCCCCCCCCCTTCATACACAGTTGAACAAAACAATTGTTAAACATTTAAAACAGAAATTTGGGGGGGGAAACAACATGATGAGGATGATTAAATAAGAAATGTCTGTATTATTTAAAAAAATGAAAGTGCACTATTATTATTATTATTATTATTATTGCCTGTTATAAATAAACAACAATAAACTACATCAGAAATTAAGAAACTGTGCCTCAATTCCTACTGTTCTTTAATTAGGATTACTGACCATAAATTGTTCAACATCATCTGCATTTTGTTATGGTTGAACAGAATAATTTTCTTTAGCAAAAATAGTATTTAAAAATATATATATTGCCAAATGTAGCCTACACGACAGCTCCCGGGTCTGTTTTTTGGATGTGTAAATGTATTGATAATTTACTGTATTGACTCTATTGGTAAATGCGCTCGCAAAGGGTGTTCACCGCGGGCCATATGACAAAAAAAGAGGCGGTGTTGTGAGAGTGATGTCATCCATGTATGTGGCTCTGGCGCGGCTGCCCACCTACTCCAGTCTGTTTTCACTGGGAGTGAGAGGAGTTGTTGGATGAAAGAAAGAGATTCGGTGTTTGAATAACTCCGTCATTGGTGTGCTTTTCCGGCAAGGCATTTCAAGACTAATACAGGTATTTCTAGCAAATGTTTGTCTATTCAGTGTACTTGGATACATGTTCTCCCAAACGCACATTTAATTGCCGCGCCCACAGTGTTGGCTTTTGTTTGTAGAGAGCGATGGATGTGCGATATTGAATGAACCCTCCATTCGTTCGAGGGACGCGGAACATAACAGTTTCTGACGAATATACGATCCAGTAATTAAATAATATATTGTATTCCAATGGAACAGTAGGCTACTTTGTCAGTGCTTCATGAGTGTAGCATGCTTTTGGACCTCTAACAGACAGGTGAAAGAACTATAGAGTCGTTAGTTAAAAACATTACTTTTAATTAATTTGTTATAGGCCTATTTTTCATTTGTCTAAGTGGGTCTATAATATAATCATAGTCATACACATTATGCCTGTAATTAATTAAGAAAACTTATTTTTTCATGCTTCTTGGAGGAAATTGAGATGGATATGACAACCTGTCGCTAATGGAAACTATAAAAGCCGATACGATTAATTGCTGTTGCCCCTTCAATAACTGGCAACACCTTGCAACAAGTGGTGTAAAGTAGGCTACTTAAGTACATATACAGTACTTTGAAGTACTACTTAAGTCGTTTTTTGGTTTATCAGTACTTTACTTTACTATTTATATTTTTGAATACTTTTACTTTTACTCCACTACATTCCTGAAGAAAATAATGTACTTTTTACTCCATACATTTTCCCTGACACCCAAAAGTAGTCGTTACATTTTGAGTGCTTAGCAGTACAGGAAAATTGTCCAATTCACGCACTTATCAAGAGAACATCCCTGGTCATCCCTACTGCCTCTGATCTGGCGGACTCACTAAACACAGTGTTGCCAACTAATTTCCAGGGGAAGTTGCTAGAGGCAGGTCGATTAGTTGCTAAAAGACGTTGTAATGTCATTGCGCGATGACGTCATTACGTAACAACGAAAAACTGCGTCATTACGTAGAATGCACAATAATGTTACTCAAATTGACTGGCCATCTCTGCAACAAATATGATTTGACATTTGTTAGTTTAGATTTGTTTGTTATCACATCGTTTTATTTGTAAAAGTAATATAAACACAACACATTTTATATGATCAGATATTTTTATTTTTAAACACAACACATTGAATTATTGAACAATTACACATTACACATGATTGAACAATTATAGTTTAATTTTCTTATAAACTAGTAAACCTACACATTCTGATCAGTTATAGTTTATAGTAGTTAGTTAACATGCTACCTAACTGATCAACAATTATAGGTACAAGCTAATAACAAGGTGTATATATGCTATCTTATTGAACAAGCAACTTAAATCAAATGATGTGTGCGCTAGGCATCTCTCTCCAGCTCTCTCCAGGTTGTTGTGCTGCTTGGCTGGCCTGCTGCTGCCTGTGCACGAGCTGAGCGCCTGCTGCTGACATCACTCACAATGCACTTTTGCAGCCAGGCACGTGTGTTGTGACTGAGTGTGTGACAGAGAAAATCGTTTTGTGTGTCATTTAGAGGGAAAATGTGTGCAGTTTAGCGTTTGAGTCACTTTTCAAAAGTTGCTAAAAGTTCCAAATACATTTTTAAAAGTAGCTACATTTGTTGCTAGGTGCTGTTTCAAAAGAAAGTTGCCAGGGTAGTCTGAAAGGTTGCTAAATCTAGCAACAAAATTGCTAAGTTGGCATCACTGAACACAAATGCTTTGTTTCTAAATTATGTCTGAGCGCTGGAGTGTGCCCCTGGCTATCGGTAAAATAATATATATATTTTAAATTCGTGCCATCTGATTTGCTTAATTATAAGGAATATGAAATGATTTTTACTTTTGATAGGCTACTTAAGTATATTTAAAACCAAATACTTTTACTCAAGTAATATTTTACTGGGTGACTTTCACTTTTACTTGAGTCATTTTCTATTAAGGTATCTTTACTTTTACTCAAGTATGACAGTTGGATACTTTTTCCACCACTGCTTGCAACAAGTTGTTTTTTGGCTAAAACATATAATAATTCCCTAGTTTGTAGGAATGTTGCATAAGATTAGACTACTGGCTACAAGTAGGCTAGGGCCGCAGTAGGTCTGTAGTTTTCCTATAGAAAAGTCATAACATAACTGAAAGGTGTTTGCTGTTAGGCCTACACACAGGTAGGAAGTGGATGGGCAACTGTTTAGCCCTAAATGTTAAAAGAAATCGTCCCTTCACTTGAATTTCATGCACACTTCATGTCACTGCAATCAGAGATGGGTGGAGGAAGTAGGCCTCTCTTTTATATTCTGTATATGCAGACCTACACATACAGTTAATTAGTTAATTGTTTATCAATTAACATGTAGTATAAACAACTGTATGCACACCACATGTTCCCACAGTTTTGGAGTCTGCGCATTGTGAATAGAGTATTTGTAACATCGCGTTCACGTGCAAGTGAACTCCCGGAGCGAGTTCTTTATTTTCACCCAATGATCACGCCAAACCTGCTTTACCACGTAGTATTTCATTTTCAAGACTCCCGTTTGCAGGTTACTGTGTACAAAGGTTATTTGTAGACATGAAACTTGTTTCACCACCTTGCCAGGAAAAGTAGCCTACTTTATAGTTGTATTTCCATAATTGTATTCAGTGCTGTTTACAATGTAAAGCTTCCAAGACCCCACCTAGAGAGCTATATCTGGGGGGCTATACACACAGTATTAAACCAGTGTTCTGTGAAACTACTCCCAATGACTTTGCGAATGTAGATAACTCAGTAACTCATCTGGTTTGTTTGTAGACTATAGAATTCAATGTTTGAACCTATTCAGGCTTTGTGGATGCAGAGCAGGCATGTAGTCTTTCACTTGCAGAGGAGAGGAGCGGGAGGCATGGCAGCTGCCTTCCCCTGAGCATGGAAGATTCTTATGCTAAACAACAATCCTCTCCTTCATTCTCTCAATAACCTCAATTGTTGTTATTCTGTGTGTGTGTCACATGCACATTCTTTGTGTATTTCATCAGTGTGTGCACACCTCCACATTTGGTGTGTGCGCATGGATTCTTTGTAATTTACTGTGTCACCTAGATTGAACACCCACTCCCTCATTCCTCTCAATCTCTCTTGTAACGTCAGGAAGCAGGTACAGGGAGTGAATTGAATAATAAATAATACATGGAACAAATAAGAAACACGAGTAGCGTACAAACATGAAACACAGGAACAGAATCAATAATGCCTAGGAAAGGAACCAAAGGGAGTGACATACAGTGCTATGAAAAAGTACACTGCTCAAAAAAATAAAGGGAACACTTAAACAACACAATGTAACTCCAAGTCAATCACACTTCTGTGAAATCAAACTGTCCACTTAGGAAGCAACACTGGTTGACAATAAATTTCACATGCTGTTGTGCAAATGGAATAGACAACAGGTGGAAATTATAGGCAATTAGCAAGACACCCCCAATAAAGGACTGGTTTTGCAGGTGGTGACCACAGACCACTTCTCAGTTCCTATGCTTCCTGGCTGATGTTTTGGTCACTTTTGAATGCTGGCGGTGCTTTCACTCTAGTGGTAGCATGAGATGGAGTCTACAACCCACACAAGTGGCTCAGGTAGTGCAGCTCATCCAGGATGGTACATCAATGCGAGCTGTGGCAAGAAGTTTTGCTGTGTCTGTCAGCGTAGTGTCCAGAGCATGGAGGCGCTACCAGGAGACAGGCCAGTACATCAGGAGACGTGGAGGAGGCCGTAGGAGGGCAACAACCCAGCAGCAGGACTGCTACCTCCGCCTTTGTGCAAGGAGGAGCAGGAGGAGCACTGGCAGAGCCCTGCAAAATGACCTCCAGCAGGCCACAAATGTGCATGTCTGCTCAAACGGTCAGAAACAGACTCCATGAGGGTGGTATGAGGGCCCGACGTCCACAGGTGGGGGTTGTGCTTACAGCCCAACACCGTGCAGGACGTTTGGCATTTGCCAGAGAACACCAAGATTGGCAAATTCGCCACTGGCGCCCTGTGCTCTTCACAGATGAAAGGAGGTTCACACTGAGCACATGTGACAGACGTGACAGAGTCTGGAGACGCCGTGGAGAACGTTCTGCTGCCTGCAACATCCTCCAGCATGACCGGTTTGGCGGTGGGTCAGTCATGGTGTGGGGTGGCATTTCTTTGGGGGGCCGCACAGCCCTCCATGTGCTCGCCAGAGGTAGCCTGACTGCCATTAGGTACCGAGATGAGATCTTCAGACCCCTTGTGAGACCATATGCTGGTGCGGTTGGCCCTGGGTTCCTCCTAATGAAAGACAATGCTAGACCTCATGTGGCTGGAGTGTGTCAGCAGTTCCTGCAAGAGGAAGGCATTGATGCTATGGACTGGCCCGCCCGTTCCCCAGACCTGAATCCAATTGAGCACATCTGGGACATCCTGTCTCGCTCCATCCACCAACGCCACGTTGCACCACAGACTGTCCAGGAGTTGGCGGATGCTTTAGACCAGGTCTGGGAGGAGATCCCTCAGGAGACCATCCGCCACCTCATCAGGAGCATGCCCAGGCGTTGTAGGGAGGTCATACAGGCACGTGGAGGCCACACACACTACTGAGCCTCATTTTGACTTGTTTTAAGGACATTACATCAAAGTTGGATCAGCCTGTAGTGTGGTTTTCCACTTTAATTTTGAGGGTGACTCCAAATCCAGACCTCCATGGGTTGATAAATTTGATTTCCATTGATAATTTTTGTGTGATTTTGTTGTCAGCACATTCAACTATGTAAAGAAAAAAGTATTTAATAAGATTATTTCATTCATTCAGATCTAGGATGTGTTATTTTAGTGTTCCCTTTATTTGTTTGAGCAGTGTATTTGCCCCCTTTCTAATTTTCTCAACATTCAGTATCACAAATATGCAAAAGTAATCAGATCTTCAACCAAAACCTAATATTAGATAAAGGGAACATAAGTGAACAAATAACACAACAATTACATATTTATTTCATAAACAAAGTTATGCAACACCCAATTCCCCTGTGTGAAAAAGTAATTGCCCCCTTACACTCAATAACTGGTTGTGCCACCTTTAGCTGCAATGACTCCAACCAAATGCTTCCTGTAGTTGTTGATGGGTCTCTCACGTCGCTGTGGAGGAATTTTGGCCCCCTCTTCCATGCAGAACTGATTTAACTCAGTGACATGTGGGTTTTCAAGCATGAACTGCTCGTTTCAAGTCCTGCCACAACATCTCAATTGGGATTAGGTCTGGACTTTGACTAGGCCATTCCAACACTTCCAATTTGTTGCTTTTTAGCAATTTTCATGTAGACTTGATTGTGTGTTTTGGATCATTGTCTTGCTGCATGACCCAGCTGCGCTTCAGCTCACAGACAGATGGTCTGACACTCTCCTGTAGAATTCTCTGATACAGAGCAGAATTCATGGTTCCTTCTATTAAGGCAAGTCGTCCAGGTCCTGAGGCAGCAAAGCATCCCCAAACCATCACACCACCACCACCATGCTTGACCTTTGGTATGATGTTCTTACTGTGGAATGCAGAGTTTGGTTTTCGCCAGGCATTACTGGAACCATGTCGTCCAAAAAGTTATACTTTTGAATCATCTGTCCATAGAACTTTCTTCCAAGAGTCTTGATGATAATCCAGGTGTTTTTTGGCAAACTTGAGTCAACTTTTTGACGAGATGGGTCCCATTATGCCTGGCGAAAACCAAACACTGCATTCTGCAGTAAGAACATCATACCAAAGGTCAAGCATGGTGGTGGTGGTGTGATGTTTTTATATATCCACGAATATTGACCACGAAGACCGCCATACTCCCATTTACTATAATTGGGAATCCTGCTTTCTGAAAACATTCCCTGCAGTACCCTGGTCAGCCTTGAACTGGAAGATGTAGACCAGAGCTCTCCAACCCTGTTCCTGGAAAGCTACCCTCCTGTAGGTTTTTCGCTCCAACCCCAGTTGTAATTAACCTGATTCAACTTATCAACCAGCTAATTATCAGAATCAGGTGCGCTAGATTAGTGTTGGAGTGAAAACCTAGAGGACTGTAGATCTCCAGGAACAGGGTTGGAGAGCCCTGAGGTAGACCATCAGTATAATATTTTATGCAGCTGTGTGGTCCTGTTACTATAGTGATGGTACTGTAGCTGTAACTGTGATTTCCTGGTTAATAGATGTTTGTATGTGACTCTGTGGTCCTGTTTCCATAGCGATGGCAGACGCCCACCAGGTGGTGGCATGTGTGACTAGTCTGCGACTCCAGACCACCAGAAGAGTGAAATATGTGAAAGTGACTAAATAGAGCAGATTATTGTATGTAACTCTGGTCCTGTTTCCGTAGCGATGGCAGAGGCCCACCAGGCAGTGGCGTTCCAGTTCACCATCACCCCAGAGGGGATCGACCTGCGCCTTTCATACCAGGCCCTGTCCCAGATCTGCCTCTCTGGCCTGCGCTCCTGGAAGAAGAGGATCAGCCGCATGAGGGTAAGGAAGGGGGGTGAGGGTGGTTGTGGGTGTGATAACAAGATGATGCCGAAAGACGTGGTTGCCCTATTTTTTAGCTCCGAGACAACTTTGCAGTATTCTTTTGTGTGTGTTATTTCTTACATTTATTTGCTCAGAACGTTTCTTGCATTATTACCTACAGCCACTGTACAACAGGAGTATAGCCTGCCTGGCTGGCATGAAAATGAACCACGGAAAAAGCGTCCTCCATTTGCTATTTAAGTCCATAGATGACATGTATTTTTCCCCCCTGCCCTGTGCAGAGACAGGTGCATGATAATGATTCATTCTAAATCAAAATAAATTTCACACATATTATTTAGTATATGTAAAGACAAAGATTAAATCAAGAACTGATGGGTGACAATATTAGTCTATAACTTGTGAATGATATATTATCACTTGTGAATAATGCCCAGCGTGTGCAGTAAGGCAAGAAACAACGCATGCCTTTTTTTGCGACATTTTCAAAACATAGTTGCACGCCTCATGTAGCCTAGCCCATAGGCCTATATGTTTTGATAAGGTTTGTATCACAACTAAAGTGGCCAAATAACTTCTTAAAATGAAGCACATTAATCCGCTTTCAACCGGTGTAGAGCCTAACTGGCATACAGTGAGGGGAAAAAAGTATTTGATCCCCTGCTGATTTTGTACATTTGCCCACTGACAGACATGATCAGTCTATAATTTTAATGGTAGGTTTATTTGAACAGTGAGAGACAGAATAACAACAACAAAATCCAGAAAAACGCATGTCAAAAATGTTATAAATTGATTTGCATTTTAATGAGGGAAATAAGTATTTGACCCCTCTGCAAAACATTACTTAGTACATGGTGGCAAAGCCCTTGTTGGCAATCAGAGGTCAGACGTTTCTTGTAGTTGGCCACCAGGTTTGCACACATCTCAGGAAGGATTTTGTTCCACTCCTCTTTGCAGATCTTCTCCAAGTCATTAAGGTTTCGAGGCTGACGTTTGGGAACTCGAATCTTCAGTTCCCTCCACAGATTTTCTATGGGATTAAGGTCTGGAGACTGGCTAGGCCACTCCAGGACCTTTTAATGTGCTTCTTCTTGAGCCACTCCTTTGTTGCCTTGGCCTAGCCAACTCCATGTTTGACGGTGGGGATGGTGTTCTTGGGGTCATAGGCAGCATTCCTCCTCCTCCAAACACGGCGAGTTGAGTTGATGCCAAAGAGCTCGATTTTGATCTCATCTGACCACAACACTTTCACCCAGTTCTCCTCTGAATCATTCAGATGTTCATTGGCAAACTTCAGACGGGCCTGTATGTGCTTTCTTGAGCAGGGGGACCTTGCGGGCGCTGCAGGATTTCAGTCCTTCACGGCGTAGTGTGTTACCAATTGTTTTCTTGGTGACTATGGTCCCAGCTGCCTTGAGATCATTGACAAGATCCTCCCGTGTAGTTCTGGGCTGATTCCTCACCGTTCTCATGATCATTGCAACTCCACGAGGTGAGATCTTGCATGGAGCCCCAGGCCGAGGGAGATTGACAGTTATTTTGTGTTTCTTCCATTTGCGAATAATCACACCAACTGTTGTCACCTTCTCACCAAGCTGCTTGGCGATGGTCTTGTAGCCCATTCCAGCCTTGTGTAGGTCTACAATCTTGTCCCTGACATCCTTGGAGAGAGCTTTGGTCTTGGCCATGGTGGAGAGTTTGGAATCTTGATTGATTGATTGCTTCTGTGGACAGGTGTCTTTTATACAGGTAACAAGCTGAGATTAGGAGCACTCCCTTTAAGAGTGTGCTCCTAATCTCAGCTCGTTACCTGTATAAAAGACACCTGGGAGCCAGAAATCTTTCTAATTGAGAGGGGGTCAAATACTTATTTCCCTCATTAAAATGGAAATCAATTTATAACCTTTTTGACATGCGTTTTTCTGGATTTTTGTTGTTGTTATTCTGTCTCTCACTGTTCAAATCAACCTACCATTAAAATTATAGACTGATCATTTCTTTGTCAGTGGGCAAACGTACAAAATCAGCAGGGGATCAAATACTTTTTTCCCTCACTGTCTATAGGTGTCAAGTGAGTTTCAAGTTTGGGGAAGATCATTTTCACCATAAAAATGCACCTTTATAGTAAAGCATTACATGCATAATCAGATTTCTTTCTCGCACAAAAGGACAAGTTGACCAATAGAATAGGTAAACTTTTGTACTATTGGGGATAGTAGATTGACATAGGCTAGTGCTTTTGCTCTTCATTAGGCCTACTCATCTTGTTGGCTGACAAAAAGTAAATGTGGACAGTTCTTCTAACATCTTCAATATGCGCCTCGGAACTCGATAAGAAGGACACACGCAGTTACGTCCCAGATGTGTCTGTCTCCGCATTGGATCTGAGATGCCTGTGAGAAGGATCCGATCACTTGACAGGCATTGGCTAATAAGAATTGAGATACACTACCGTTAAAAAGTTTGGGGTCACTTATAAATGTCCTTGTTTTCGAAAGAAAAGCAATTTTTTTGTCCATTAAAATAACATCAAATTAATTAGAAATACAGTGTAGACATTTAATGTTGTAAATAGCTATTGTAGCTGGAAACGGCTGATTTTTAAAAATGGAATATCTACAAAGGCGTTCAGAGCCCCATTATCAAATACCATCAGTCCTGTGTTCCAATGGCACGTTGTGTTTGCTAATCCAAGTTGATCATTTTAAAAGGCTAATTGAACATTAAAAAACCCTTTTGCAATTATGTTATCACAGCTGAAAACTGTTGTGCTGATTTAAAGAAGCAATAAAACTGGCCTTCTTGAGACTAGTTGAGTATTTGGAGCATCAGCAATTGTGGGTTCGATTACAGGATCAAAATGGCCAGAAACAATTAACTTTCTTCTGAAACTCGTCAGTCTATTCTTGTTCTGTGAAATGAAGGCTCTAGAAATATAAGCATTTCACTGCACCTGCATTAACAGCTTTAATATGTGTACGTGACCAATACAATTTTATTTCATTTGGGTGTGCGTGTGTGTGAGAGATACAGTGCATTCAAAAAGTATTCAGACCCCTTGACTTTTTCCACATTTTGTGACGTTACAGCCTTATTCTGAAATGGATTACATAGTTTTTTCCCTCATCAATCTACACACAATACCCCATAATGACAAAGCAAAAACAGATTTTTAGAATTGTTTGCAAACTTCTTAAAAAAAAAAAAACTATCACATTTACATAAGTATTCAGACCATTTACTCAGTACTTTGAAGCAAATTTGGCAGCGATTACAGCCTCAAGTCTTCTTGGGTATGACGCTACAAGCTTGGCATACCTGTATTTGGGGAGTTTCTCCCATTCTTCTCTGCAGATCCTCTCAAGCTCTGTCAGGTTAGCTGCACAGCTATTTTCAGGTCTCTCCAGAGATGTTCGATCGGGTTCAAGTCTGGGCTCTGGCTGGGCCACTCAAGGACATTCAGTGACTTGCCTTGAAGCCCCTCCTGCATTGTCTCGGCTACGTGCTTAGATGCTTAGGGTCTTTGTCCTGTTGGAAGGTGAACCTTCGCCCCAGTCTGAGGTCCTGAGCGCTCTGTAGCAGGTTTTCATCAAGGATCTCTCTGTACTTTGCACTGTTAATCTTTCCCTTGATCCTGACTAGTCTCCCAGTCCCTGCTGCTGAAAAACATCCCCACAACATGATGCTGACACCACCATGCTTCACCGTAGAGAGGGTGCCAGGTTTCCTCCAGACGTGACGCTTGTCATTCAATCTTGGTTTCTTGGTTTCATCAGACCAGAGAATCTTGTTTCTCATGGTCTGAGAGTCTTTAGGTCCAAGTGGGCTGTCATGTGCCTTTTACTGAGGTGTGGCGTCCGTCTGTCCACTCTACCATAAAGGCCTGATTTGGTGGAGTGCTGCTGAGATGGTTGTCATTCTTGAAGGTTCTTCCATTTCCACAGAGGAACTCTGGAGCTGTATCAGAGTGACCATTGGGTTCTTGGTCACCACTCTGACCCCGATTGCTCAGTTTGGCCATGCGGCCATCTCTAGGAAGAGTCTTGGTGGTTCCAAACTTCTTCCATTTAAGAGTGATGGAGGCCACTGTGTTCTTGGGGACCTTCAATGCTGCAGAATTTTGTTGGGTACCCTTCCCCAGATCTGTGCCTCGACACAATCCTGTCTCAGAGCTCTACGCACAATTCCTTCGACCTCATGGCTTGGTTTTTGCTCTGACATGCACTGTCAACTGTGGGACCTTACGTAGACAGGTGTGTGCTTTTCCTAATCATGTCCAATCAATTGAATTTACCACAGGTGGACTTCAATGAAGTTGTAGAAACATCTCAAGGATGATCAATGGAAACGAGCTCAATTTCGATTCTCATAGCAAAGGGTCTGAATACTTATCTAAATAAGGTATTTCAGTTTTATTTTAAATACATTTGCTAAAAAACAACTGTTTTCGCGTTTTCATTATGGGGTATTGTGTGTAGATTTAATGAGGAAATTGTTTTATTTAATCCATTTTAGAATAAGGCTGTAACGTAACAAAATGTAGAAAAAGTCAAGGGGTCTGAATACTTTCTGAATGCACTGAGAATGTGTGTGTATGAGAGAATGTATGCATGTGTGTGCTCATGTTCTGTGAAATGCAATATGTAGGTGCTACAGAGCCTGATGCAGAGGTAAACGAGCTGCACTGATGTGTATAATATGTCAACAAATACCTTTTTGTTAGCACATTACTTATTTTGCCCTGCTCATGATACAGCTCTGCAGATAAGTGTTCCTGTTTTTTTGTGAGCTTGTGTCACATCGGTTTTTTCATGCAATGTCACTTCCGTCATGTTGTCTATGCTGTAGTTCTCAACTAGTTTAGAAAACTTTAATGTCCTCTTGAGGCAATTCATTTTGCAGCAATCGTTACATACAGACAAAATCACATTTTAAAACAACAACAACAGATATCAAAGGATATTTACAAGGAAGAAGGCTCAATAATGGCTAGGCCTACATGTACGTTAAAGTATTGAACTAGTGTTCAAGCCGACAACCTGATTTCTATGGGGTCCCTGTGCACGCTCAGACATTGTTATGGGATGTTGACTTGAAGCAAAGCCGCACCCGTTCTTAAAGTTTTTGTTTCAATTCCAACGTTGGATTGTTTACTTTTGAGTGCAACAGTTCCTTCTTCAAACTCCTGCTGAACTAATCCCAGGCATGTTTAAGAGTTTGAATTGGGGGATGTTGAGATTAAGGGTTCTCTATGTACAGTATGTACCACATCTTCCTCTACACCAGTCTATCTATCGATCGATTGATAGTGGGCTCCAAATTGACTGGGACCCCTGACTGGCAATGCACAAACAATACTTAAAAATGTATAAACAATATAATTATAGAGAGAAACTCAAAGTACCAACATGTGAGAAATACTGTACTATATTAATGTTCCAATGGAACCCACCAAAATCATTTATTGATTTAATAAAAAATCAAAGTCCTCCAAATCAAGGTTTCACAATTAATGGCACCCTTAAAGATTAATGTAAATAACATCTACCAAAATTAAACCAGGCATTAAATTCCACTTATTGAAGTTTATCAAAGTCTTAAGGAACTATATTGAGCCATTTCATCACTTCCTGTTTCACTAGGGTATAAAAATGAGGTAACACGCATGCAATATCCCTTTGTCACCAACACCATGAAGAAAACAAAAGAACTGGCAGTTCAAAAGAGACAGATGGTTATAGACCTTCATAAATCTGGTAATGGCTACAAGAAGATCCACAAACGATTGAATATACCACTGAGCACTGTCAGGGCAATAATTAAAAAGATATGGAACAGTTGAAAACCTCACGGGTAGAGGATGCAAATGCATTTTGCCTCCCAGGATAGGGAGGAGGATGGTGAGAGAAGCAACAAAATCTCCAAGAATCACTGTGAAAGAATTGCAGGCCTTGGTGGCGTCTTGGGGTCACCAGGTTTCAAAAAGCACCATCAGACGCCACCTCCACAACCACGGGCTCTTTGGAAGGGTTGCCAGAAGAAAGCCCTTTCTGACCCCAAGACACAGACGCAAGCGCTTTGAGTTTGCCAAACGTCATTTAAATTATGACTGGAAGAATGTGCTCTGGTCAGATGAGACCAAAATGGAATGTTTTGGTCAGATACAGCATTGGCATGTTTGCCGTCGAAACAGAGATGCATACAAGGAGAGAATTCCAGAGGTCCAGGGGCACTGGTTAAGATTGATGCCATAATGAATTCCACCAAGTATCAGGCAATTTTGGCTGACAATCTGGTTGCCTCTGCCAGAAGGTGGTTCCAAACTTGGCCGTAGGTGGACTTTCCAACAAAACAATGACCCAAAACATACCTCAAGATCCACACAGAAATGGTTCTGTGACAACAAAATCAATGTTCTGCCATCTCAGTCGCCGGACCTCAACCCAATCGAAAATATGTGGGCTGAGTTGAGGAGGGCAGTTGATAAGCGCAAACCCAAGAATGTGAAGGATCTTGAAAGGATCTTCATAGAGGAATGGTCCAAAATCCCTCCAAACATTACAGGAAAAGACTCCATGCTGTTATCCTTGCCAGAGGTGGTTGCACTTAGTACTAAATGAGGAGTGCCAATAATTATGAAACCTTGATTTTGGTGACATTTATTTTGTATTAAATAATTGTATGATTTTGGTTGGTTCCATTGAAACATTGATAAAGTACAGTATTTCTCACATGTTGGTATTTTGAGTTTATCTCTATAATTATATTGTTTGTGCAATGCCAGTCAGGGGTGCCAGTAATTATGTATGTCTGTCTGGTATATTCAGATCAATATATAGTATAACACCTTCTCTATGGGTTCTTCGCTATTTCACCCTTATTCATATTTACTACTTTCTTTACTCTTCCTCAGGTAACAATATCCAATTCATCCTATATACTGACACTATGTTTTTCTACTGGTCTTTAAGGATCCTGTACACTGACCTTTACCTGTATATTTTCTACCAGTCCTACCATTTCATATTCTATGTACAGTTTATTCATACTGTGCTCTTCTTCTGTGGTGACAGAACAGGGTGATCAAAGGGGTGTACCCTGCCAGCCCTTCCTCCTGGCTGTTTGTTGTCATAGCGATCCTGGCCACCATGTACACACGCTCTGACCCCTCCATGGGCCTCATTGCCAAAATCCAGGAGCACCTGCCCGTCAGGTAACTAGCTACATCACTCATTACCTCTCCCTGTGAGGTAACTACATCATACACTGTCCTAGGGAGGAAGAGGAGGAAGAGAGAGGCAAGTAGGGGGAGGGAGAGCGTGTGAGAGGGAGGGGGGATAGTTACTTTGTGTAGTAGATGCTATACACGTTGACTGACTGACTGACTGACTGACCAACTACAGATAATGTTAACTAGCAAGTCAGAGAGTCAAATAAAAGAGGAAGACAATTAAGCAATAAGGCACGAGGGGGTTTGGTATATGGCCAATATACCACGGCTAAGGGCTGTTCTTAGGCATGACGCAATCGCCTTATTGCTATTATAAACTGGTTACCAACATAATTAGAACAGTAAAAATACATGTTTTGTCATACCTGTGGTGTAAGGTCTGATATACCATGGCTTTCAGACAATCAGCATTCAGGGCTCAAACCACCCAGTTTATAATTAGTGTTATACTACACATGACCTATCCTCTTATTAAAGCTACATCCTGGGCTTAGCTGACTATAGTCATGGCTGACTCACTTTACCATTTATGTATACTCACATTCCTGCGCACTCCTCCCTTTCTCCTCCCATGATAACATTCATTGCGTTCAATGAGTAAATGTGAAGTGTGTGTGTGAAGTATTTCTTCCCCTGCCCCTGTTCCTGCCATTTAATAATGGGCCATTCTAAATAGAAACACATTTTATATATTTGTAAAGACAAGATTCAATTGAGAATAGTCTGATGGGTGAAATATGATCACTTGATGAGAGAAACACTGTGCAGCCTGAAGCAAGGAACTGAGAGCAAGCATTTTTGCGACTTTCTCAAATCAAAAATAGCCTATAGTCGCATCATGCAGCCCATATATCTTTTGATTTCTAAGACATTCTAAGGTTTGTATCATTCATAATTAAAGTTTCCAAATAACTCTAAATCTAGCATATAGCATCATATAATATAAAAGAATGGCATGGGACTTCTAAGCATATCTTGTCAGCTAAATGAACAAGCCTACAGCCTATGGCATGGAGCCAACAAATATTATTTTCTTCTGAAATACATTTTCTTAATATCATGTTTCTTTAGACCTGACTAAAATAAATAATGGATTTATTGTGATGGGGTATATTAAATTGATTTATTATACTTTTTTTTTAAATGTAGATGTTCCAAAGGCGTGCATCAGTGGCTTGTATCCATGGAGGCTTGGAGATGCTAAATGTGATTATGTTAATTAACGGTCAATTACCGTGACACTGGCAGTCTTTTTCATGACAATAACTGGCTGACATGGGTAGGGCTCGTTCTTAAAATTCCTGCCAGTACAGGGCTCTAATCTTCTACATTTGACCAATAGAGGTCCCCATATTACTTTTTCTTTTATCCAGTGATGATTTCTTAGCCTCTCACAGACCTACAACCATACTGACAACCAGTCTACTACTATCATGTGTTAATTTGATGTATTCTCTCTCTCTCTCTCTCCCCCCCCCCCACCTACCAGTAGTCTGTCTCTGAGTGCCCAGGGCCAGACCATGCTGTCAGTGCTGGTGTTCAGTACCCTGCTGTGGCTATCTCTCATCCTGACCCTGAGGTTCTGTCTCAAACTGCTGCTCTCCTACCACCGCTGGATGTTCGAGCAGCACGGACGCATCTCCACCACCACCAAAGTCTGGGTGGTATGTATGCTATGCCAGAGACGGTGGAAACCTTAATGAGGAAACACTCTTTGTACTTCTCACTCTAGCACTTGTTCGTTTTTCTGTAGTAAATGGATGGATGGATTAATAGTGGTATTGTAATTGCTGGTAATGGTATTTGTTGTGGCAATAGTACAGGCAGTGGCAAAAGCATTAACAGGAGAGGTAGCTGCAGTTGGACCACAGATAGAACAATGAGACAAATATTTCACTGGAGGTATAAATGTTAAGCATCTGGTTTGTGTTTCCACTCACTACCAAATATGGTAGTGCAAAGGCTAATTGAGTTATTGCACACACACACTTCAGAGTAGGCGTTCCCTAATGGAAATATGCAGATACGTGCTAGAACGGGCAAATAGGATCTCGCTAGGTCGTGCTTGGCTCTGCCCACCTCCTTGCTTGTTCTGCCCACTATGACTTATTTGTTCCCATTGGAAACGACAGGCTGTGGTCTATCTTGGTTTAGTTATACAAATATTTGGTTGTACTGTGATTGAAGTGTTAGTAGATTAATTTATGTTCCCTCTCTCTCAGACCCTGGTGCGTCTGCTGTCTGGCAGGAAGCCTCTCCTGTACAGCTATCAGACCTCTCTACCTTGCCTGCCCGTCCCGCCCATCAAAGACACACTGGAGAGGGTGAGTGTCCACCGATCCAGGATCAGCTTCCCCCAAATGCATAACCAATCTAAGAGTGTCCAGTTCACCCTAGTGGCGGAGATGCAGTGCCTTCAGAAAGTATTCACACCCCTTGACTTTTTCCTAATTTTGTTGTTACAGCCTGAATTTAAAATGGACTAAATTGAGATTTTGTCACTGATCTACACACAATACCCCATAATGTCAAAGGTGATAAAAAAAATATATATATTCATTAAAAATGAAAAGCTAAAATGTCTTGAGTCAATAAGTATTCAAACCATTTGTTATGGCATGCCTAAATAAGTTCAGGAGAAAAATGTGCTTAACAAGTCACATAATAAGTTGCATCGACTCTCTGTGTGCAATAATAGTGGTTAACATGATTTTTGAATGACTACCTCATCTCTGTACCCTACACATACAGTGCCTTCGGAAAGTATTCAGACCCCTTGACCTTTTCCACATTTTGTTATGTTACAGCCTTATTCTAAAATGGATGTAAAAAAAAATCCATCAGTCTACACACAATATCACATAATGACAAAGCAAAAAGAGGTTTTTAGAATTTTTTCCACATTTATTTTTCCAAAATAATGGAAATATCAATTTACATAAGTATTCAGACCCTTTACTCAGTACTTTGCTGAAGCACCTTTGGCAGCGATTACAGCATCAAGTCTTCTTGGGTATGACGCTACAAGCTTGGCACACCTGTATTTGGGGAGTTTCTCCCATTCTTCTCTGCAGATCCTCTCAAGCTTTGTCAGGTTGGATGGGGAGCGTTGCTGCACAGCTATTTTCAGGTCTCTCAGAGATATTCGATCGGGTTCAAGTCCGGGCCCTGGCTGGGCCACTCAAGGACATTCAGAGACTTGTCCCGAAGCCACTCCTGCATTGTCTTGGCTGTGTGCTTAGGGTCGTTGTCCTGTTGGAAGGTGAACCTTCACCCCAGTCTGAGGTCCTGAGCGCTCTGGAGCAGGTTTTCATCAAGGATCTCTCTGTACTTTGCTCCGTTCATCTTTGCCTCGATCCTGACTAGTCTCCCAGTCCCTGCCGCTGAAAAACATCCCCACAGCAAGATGCTGCCAACACCATGCTTCACCGTAGGGATGGTGCCAGGTTTCCTCCAGATGTGACGCTTGGCATTCAGGCCAAAGAGTTCAATCTTGGTTTCATCAGACCAGAGAATCTTGTTTCTAGACATTTATTTTTTCGGGACCTAGCGGAAGTTTTCCAATAAACTCTTGTTTATTTTAACGGTTTCCGTTGCAGAACGTTTTGCTAAGGTGCTATACGTTTTGTTAAGACACTGCTTTGAACCGAGGTGTGTGTCTCTCTCACGTAGTACCTGGAGTCTGTGCGTCCATTGCTGAGCAGTCCAGAGTTCGAGCGGATGACTGTGTTGGCGGCTCAGTTTGAGAACAGTCTGGGGAACAGGCTGCAGCGCTATCTCAAGCTCAAAGCTCTGTGGGCTACCAACTATGTGAGTAGACTCACTGCTGCACACACACTGTTTGTTTATTCACACACACGCACACGCACACAGTTCGCTCACTCACTTAGGCTCATAGTTGTTGTCGTGTAAAGATTTCACTTCTAATCTCTCGCTCTCTCTCTCGCACTCTCTCTCTCTCTCTGTCTGTCAGGTGAGTGACTGGTGGGAGGAGTACATCTACCTGAGAGGACGAGGCCCCATCATGGTCAACAGCAACTACTATGGCATGGTACTGCTCTTCCCACGATACACTATAGATATACACTGGGTATACAAAACATTAAGAACACCTGCTCTTTCCATGATATAGACTAACCAGGTGAATCCAGGTGAAAGCTATGATCCCTTATTGATGTCACTTGTTAAATCCACTTCAATCAGTGTAGTTGAAGGGGAGGAGACAGGTTAAAGAAGGATTTTTAAGCCTTGAGACAAATGAGACCTGTATGTGTGCCATTCAGAGGGTGAATGGGCAAGACAAAAATGGCAAGTGCCTTTGAAAGAGGTATGGTAGTAGGTGCCAGGCACACCGGTTTTGTCAAGAACTGCAACACTGCTGGGTTTTTCATGCAAAGCGGTTTCCCATGTGTATCAAGTATGGTCCACCACCCAAAGGACATCCATCTAACTTGACAACTGTGGGAAGCATTGGAGTCAACATGGGCCAGAATCCCTGTTCTGAGGGCAAAAGGGGGGAGGGGTGCGCATGCAACTCAATATTAGGAAGGTGTTCCTAATGTTTGGTGTACTCTGTGTACACTTTAAATGTACTGTTATACTGTCTATGTGATACACTCTCTACTCTCTCCCGCAACATATACCAATCTCCTTCCCTCCTTCATGCCTTCAGTTATCAGACCTTCACTCTTACCTTTCTCCTTCCAACCCTCCCAAAACCCTATAGCGCCCTCTCCCTCCCCTGTCCCTCTCTATTGGCTTATTGTGACATTCCAGAGACGGTGCTGGGGCAGGAATTTCCTCGACTACCAGAAATGCTGGGAATGTTGCCCCCGGAAACCTTCTCTAGTGCCACATGTCCTTACCTGTCTCTGTTTGTTTCTGTCTCGCCCTCTGTCTCTCACTCTCTTTCTAATTATTTTTCTCTCTCTCACCTCCATCTCTGACCCCTCCCCTCTTGTCCACTAGGACTTTCTGTATGTGACTCCCACGCCCATCCAGGCAGCGAGGGCCGGCAACACCATCACTGCTCTGCTGCTCTACCGACGCAAGGTCAACACTGAGCAGCTCAAACCTGTGAGTGCTGCTACTAGTACTAGGACACACTGCACTACACCACCACCAGTACAGAGCTACACCCTTTTCTCACTACTAATCCGAGCCAAGCTGTACTGAGCTGACCTGGTTATGCACGCTATTATTCAATGAGTAATTGATCAAGTTAACGATCCAAGGAACCCACTGGAATAGTAGTGAGATTCCCCTAACTGTCTGTATTGGACTGCTGTTGCTGCAGACATAGTTTATATGAATAGAACTGACGTCACTATGGGAAATAATAGTCATTCATAAAGGGTTTGTCCAAAATGGCACCCTGTTCTCTATATAGTCCGCTACTTTTGACCAGAGCCTTATGGGCCCTGTAGTGACCTATAGTAGTAGTGCACCTAATAGGGAATAGGGTGCCATTTGGGACGTATATTGTTATTGTATGAATCAAATTCATATTAGGCAACCGTCTTGGGTGAGTCAGTGGGGTAAAGGTCACAGAGAATATAGGCCAGTGAAGAGGTTTATGGAAAAGGAATCTCCCCATTCCAGGTGTGGTTCTTCAAGCCTGTGGCTCTTCAAACCAGATTCTGTCTTACTGTCATTTACAACATTTTGTCAGTTTGTAGATGTGGGTGTGGGTGGGTGTTGTCAGAGAGGAAGAGCGAGGCCCAACTTGGTGCAAAATCGGTCTCCCTCCAGCAGGTGGCGCTCTTTCATTGTTTCGCCCACCAAGCAAGGAGTTTTTGTATGGAGGTCAATGAGAGTTTCAAATTTGGTCAAAGGAAAAATGTATGACATATTTGCTACATTAGGTTTATTTGATCTAATAGAAGTTTCGTAATGCTTAAGTTGTTACAAGTGTACTGATATAAGTAGGACACGTGACATCCCGGCAACTTTTGAGAAAAAACACTTTATACCAGACTTGTCTCGATGGCTATGCATATTCATAGCATGAACATAACATCTCTCTCCATTGAATACAGTTGGTTGACATCAACAACCTCATCGAATATTCAAAAAAGTATTACAATAATGAGATGTATCCACCAATCTAAAGAAAGGAGCTAGAAAGCCCGGCGTGCCGCTTTGTGGAAAACGACTCCCATTGGGCTGAGAAACATGTATCTTGTCAGTATATCCATAATCTTATGTGTTGTTGACATCTGTGACATGAATTCTACAGTATCTTACCAAACTGGAGCACTAAGTTATTAGTTAGATAATAATTAAAACAAATATATATATATATATATATAAATAATAATAGATCATAAATCTCAAGAGTTCATCCTGCAAAATGTCAAATAAATAAATTAATAATAGCCAGCCAACTTTGTTAAACACTCTTTTCTTCTAATTCCTCATTGTCCTCCTTTCCTCAATTCCTACTTCATGAAGGATACTGAAGTTGAACATGGGTTGTTTTCGTGTATCTACTCATATTAGCTGGCTATTTCATCGAAGCAGCTGTGTGAAAGTGTCATTTGAAGGATCTTTAACCGAGTTCTGTAGAATTTTTCTGCTGATATGGTCTTTTTTTGCGGAACTCTGCCTCTGACTGTCGTCAATGAATATTCCACTTCCTCTCTCTTTCTCTCTCTCTTTCTCTCTCTTGCTCTATCTCTCTCTCTCATTCTTAAATTCCAAATTGTCATGGATGAAATTAATGGCATTTGAGGTTAAACAATGTGAAGATACTGTAACTACCAAACCGTTTTTCTCTCTTTTCTCTCTCTCTCTCTCTCACTCAGAGTCGTGTTCCAGGTACAGTCATCCCTCTGTGTGCAGCTCAGTGTGAAAGGATGTTCAACACTACTCGCACTCCAGGAGAGGAGACGGGTAATAAACACACACACACACACAAACAAAAGAGACTGAGTGGCAAGAAAGTCTGTTTTGGAATCTTTATTTGATAGCATTGACAAGGAAATGAGACAACGGTATAAGTAGAGTTCTGCATCAGCCACTAACCAACTCGCGCGCTCACTCTGTCTCGGTCTCTCTCTCGACGTGTGTCTCCTCTCCAGACGTGCTGCAGCACTGGCAGGACAGTGAATTTGTGGCAGTCTACCACCGGGGGCGCTACTTCAGGCTGTGGGTCTACAAGGCGGGGCGTCTCCTCTCCCCTAGAGAGATAGAGTACCAGATCCAGAGGATCCTAGATGACCCCTCACTCCCCGGACCTGGAGAGGACAGGCTGGGAGCACTGACTGCTGGAGACAGGTGTCTAGTGGTGGGGGGAAGAGGGGTGTGTGTGTGCGTGAGCGCCTGTACACATAGGTGTATGTACCCACTGCAAATACAGTTCTCTGCATTTTTACAACCCGGACTTCCCCCTAAATATGAAAGTGTAGAGTTTTGCATGATCTGATGTATGGCTAATAGATGGCCCTACGGAGCTGATGTTCATTATGCCTGAGACAGCTGTAGATTTGCAGACTTTGGCTTGAGAGATCAGACAAGGATAGCACTGCAGGATAACAGACATGGGTTCAAATATGATTTGAAATCTTTCAAATACTTTGACCGTTCACTCTAGCCAGCCTGGAGTGCCAGGTGGACAGCGTTTTCGTTTTCGGGACTATTGTATTGGTCCATTGAGCCAAGCACGCTCAATCAAGCACAACTAAAGTATTTGAAATTATTTCTAATAGTATTTGAACCCAGGTCTGCAGGATACCACAGACAAGTAGAGCTTCCATCGATCAGTTATGGTCTATGTATACCAACAGTGCTTTTCCGGGCTTTGGTTGTGGTAAGTAGGAATAATAATCATGAGTAGGACACTCTCTCTCTCTCACACTCGCAGACACATAAAACGACTCTGTTCATATCACAATTATTGGTACACCCTGGTACTCCTGTCTGTTTTTGTAGAACTTTACACACAGTAAATAAACACATTCTTTCCTGGGGACGTGGTTGTGTTAGCAGCACACCCTTGTCCTCACCATTGTGTCTCTAGTCAATCCTCAGCTCGTCATGATGACAGCTAATAGGGTTCAGCTGTTGAGCAAGAAACATTTGCAACCACAAGGTTGAATTAGTCTGGTCATGGAGTGTTTTGTCCTGGCATGTCCCATGGGATCACTTTCACACTACTGTCAAGTATTCTACAGTTACATTATCACTATACATACTGTTCTGCAGTGAGTGGGTTAGAGAAGGGGAACATATTCCCATATGTTTAGTAACAATGGCAGATTCTTGCCAGATTTGGTTGCTGTTGATATTAATGTATTTCTGTAAGTAAAAAGTACAGTAGACTTTGTTGAGTCTACCTTTTTAAATAAAGTTTGGTGTGATTTGGATGGGGTTTGTCCCAGGGTGCCGTGGTGGACCGTAAGAAAGCAGTACTTCAGCTCAGGGGTGAACAAGCACTCGCTGGACTGCATCGAGAGGGCCGCCTTCTTTGTCACCCTGGACGATGAGGAGCAAGGCATGATGGGAGAAGACCCAGTGGGAAACCTGGACCGCTACGCCAAGTCCCTCCTCCACGGAAAATGTTACGACAGGTGTGTGACTGTGTGGTGCAGGCGCATTAAAATAAGCTTTTATTTTGTAGAAATGTATAATCGTGGTCGAGCTTCTACCTAACACCTTACAGATCTGTGAACATTGACAGGATAGGGCCAACGGGAAGGGCTAGGGAGTGAATTAGAACCAGTTAATAGAGTGTCCAACTCTGCCTTTCCCAGTTTCCACGCAACAAGAGAACATTCAATCCATCTCACTTCTACAGGGGGGTCTGGTACTAGGGCTGCGTACCAAATGGCACCCTATTCCTTATATACTGTAGTGCGCTACTTTTGACCAGGGCCTGGGCCCATAGGGCTCTGGTCAAAAGTAGTGCACCATATAGGGAATAGGGTGCCATTTGGGATGCGGCTTAGCTGTTAGTGAAGGACATCTGCTCTTCAGCTCTATCGTAGTCTACCGGTATCTAGATTGAGTTGAATTGTGAACAGATGGAGTCTTCATCTGGTCCATTTAATCCTCTCTTCCTTTCACACGTGCTGTACTGTAGGCCTGCACACACACACAAACATGGTATGACAACCTGATTGAATTAGCAGCAAATGTCCAATAGCACCAGTTGCTTAAGTGAAGTAATTGACGGATATATCCTATCCAGGGACATGGTTCTGGTTGTTTAGAATCATCAACATCAGGCCCAAGTTCCTCTTGTACACCCTCTTCTCCCCCTCCAAATCAAGTGCTTCACATCTGTGTCTAAGTTCCAGTGGTTTCCTGTCTGTATGGCACTCTCAAACAATACAATACAGTATTGAACTCTCAATTAGATTGATGAATAATGAGTAAATACAGTGGGGGAAAAAGGTATTTAGTCAGCCACCAATTGTGCAAGTTCTCCCACTTAAAAAGATGAGAGGCCTGTAATTTTCATCATAGGTACACGTCAACTATGACAGACAAATTGAGAATTTTTTTTCCAGAAAATCACATTGTAGGATTTTTAATGAATTTATTTGCAAATTATGGTGGAAAATAAGTATTTGGTCACCTACAAACAAGCAAGATTTCTGGCTCTCACAGACCTTTAACTTCTTCTTTAAGAGGCTCCTCTGTCCTCCACTCTTTACCTGTATTAATGGCACCTGTTTGAACTTGTTATCAGTATAAAAGACACCTGTCCACAACCTCAAACAGTCACACTCCAAACTCCACTATGGCCAAGACCATGTGATTTGGATGGGGTTTGTCCCAGAAACAAAATTGTAGACCTGCACCAGGCTGGGAAGACTGAATCTGCAATAGGTAAGCAGCTTGGTTGGAAGAAATCAACTGTGGGAGCAATTATTAGGAAATGGAAGACATACAAGACCACTGATAATCTCCCTCGATCTGGGGCTCCACGCAAGATCTCACCCCGTGGGGTCAAAATGATCACAAGAACGGTGAGCAAAAATCCCAGAACCACACGGGGGGACCTAGTGAATGACCTGCAGAGAGCTGGGACCAAAGTAACAAAGCCTACCATCAGTAACACACTACGCCGCCAGGGACTCAAATCCTGCAGTGCCAGATGTGTCCCCCTGCTTAAGCCAGTACATGTCCAGGCCCGTCTGAAGTTTGCTAGAGTGCATTTGGATGATCCAGAAGAGGGTTGGGAGAATGTCATATGGTCAGATGTAACCAAAATATAACTTTTTGGTAAAAACTCAACTTGTCGTGTTTGGAGGACAAAGAATGCTGAGTTGCATCCAAAGAACACCATACCTACTGTGAAGCATGGGGGTGGAAACATCATGCTTTGGGGCTGTTTTTCTGCAAAGGGACCAGGACGACTGATCCGTGTAAAGGAAAGAATGGGGCCATGTATCGTGAGATTTTGAGTGAAAACCTCCTTCCATCAGCAAGGGCATTGATGATGAAACGTGGCTGGGTCTTTCAGCATGACAATGATCCCAAACAAAGTCCGTGTTGCCCAGCGACAGCCCCAAAACATCACTGCTCTAGAGGAGATCTGCATGGAGGAATGGGCCAAAATACCAGCAACAGTGTGTGAAAACCTTGTGAAGACTTACAGAAAACGTTTGACCTGTGTCATTGCCAACAAAGGGTATATAATAAAGTATTGAGAAACTTTTGTTATTGACCAAATACTTATTTTCCACCATAATTTGCAAATAAATTCATTAAAAATCCTACAATGTGATTTTCTGGATTTTTTTCTCTCATTTTGTCTGTCATAGTTGACGTGTACCTATGATGAAAATTACAGGCCTCTCATCTTTTTAAGTGGGAGAACTTGCACAATTGGTGGCTGACTAAATACTTTTTTTCCCCACTGTATTAGTCTGATGTTTTGGCTGGACCAGGACAGTGGTGGGTGGTCTGGGGATTGTGACAGATCAGGGTGTTGGGTCAAGACGTTTACACAGATCAGACACGGACAGAGTATGATTAGCTCGGTTTCAAGGGTGTTTATTAATAAAATAATCAAAAGAAAAGGTTAGGTCTCCACCATGAGATCCTCTCCAGGATACAGTCTCCAACTACACGGAAGTTACCTTACTGCCCCCAGTCCTCTCTCCTGTGCTGCCTTTCTGGCAGCTTTATGGGCCTTGCACAGCTCGTGAGCAATCCGCCCTCAGTGCAAAGTCTGTTTCCCTTCTCGATAGGGCATCCGCGTTTCCATGCTTCGCCCCTGACCTGTGCACAACAGAAAAAGAGAAGCATTGAAGGGACAAGAACCACCTGGTGACCCGATCATTTGTGTCTTTTCCCCTGGCTACTAGTCTACTATTACCAAGATGTACCTGTGTCCTCGTGCAGTCTTTACCAGGGGTCACACTATGTCCATGGCGACGCGTTCAAAGGGCACCCCGATGATCGGCAGGGGGACCAGAGGCTTTCGGAAGTGTGCTTTTGGGGCAGTGAGTTGACACTCCGGGCAGCTGCGACAGTAGTCTTCCACGGCCCTCCTCATCCCGGGCCAGTGGAACCGGGCGGCGACCCGTTTCCGGGTCTTCTCCATTCCCAGGTGTGCCCCCAACAGGTGGGTGTGGGCCAGCTGAAGAACGGTTCCTACGTACCGTTGTGGCAGCAACAATACCTCTCAAAGTTCCCCCTGTTGGCGCGACACCTGATACAAATTAATTTGGAAATGGGGGTATCGCCCGCCAGTCACTCACCCCCGGAAGTAGCTGTCCATCCACCGCTATCACTTGGGCTGCGGTAGCTTTCAAATTCGGAACCTCCCAGTGGGCCGTCCCGAATTGTCCCCTCAGTTGGCCCCCAACGGGGGTCTCGACTGGCCCCTCGAAATCAAGAAGGGGGAGGCTGGGCTCCTCCTCCAGTGGTTCCCCAGGGGGTTCGGGTTCCGGCTCCCCCTCCGACTCCGGACCCGTAGAGTCAGGTGGGTTAACCGGTTGCGTCCTGGCCGCACAGGCGAGGGGTCATCCCCGCTCTCTTCTTCGGCCGGCTCGTATCTTTTTTTCAACTCATGCCCCCATAGGGCTGCGAACAGCGGACAATCCCATCCCACTAGGATAGGTACCGGCAGCTCTGGTACTGCACCCACCATCAGCTGGCAGCTCCCTTGTGGTGTCACGATGTTGGTCCATACAGCGGGATACCGCTTTGTGTCACTGTGAACACAGGAAATGGACATCTCCCTATCCCGTTCGGTCTCCTGGTTCAGCAGGCTCGTGGTTACGAGCGTAACCATGCTTCCGGAGTCTAATAGGGCTTCCGTGTCATGTCCATCAACCTTCACCGGGACCATGGGTGCCGTTGATTCACGGTGCGCCCAACAGGAGGTGACATAGTTCACGGCATGACCAACCTGGCCTCCGGTGCTAGCTGATGACATCGACTCCTCTCGAGCAGGGCAATTCCAGGCAATGTGCCCCTGGGCGCCACACTCAAAACACCTCCGTTGGTCTCCATCTACCTGGGGTCGTCGGTGGCGGGTCGGCCCTTCCCCAGCCATCTCTCCATGGGTTTGCGGTCCCTTGGCCCTGCCGACTGTCGGTTCGGGGTAAACCGCTGTGGGGTTGTCCTTCCGTTCCCTCGCACAGGTCGCCGACTCTCGTCCCGGCTCCCCCTCAGTGGGGTCTGAGTGTTCTGATGCATCTCCACTGCTTCCAGGAGGCCCTCCAAGGTCTGGGGCGCGCATAGGCTCTCTGCCCTCTTCATGTCATGGGGTAGCGCCCGTACGAAGCGATCCAGGACCACTTTGTCGAGGAGGGAGAGGGTGGATATGTCGGTTAGGAGCCATGCCCTGGTGACGCGCAGAAGGTCACTCATCTGAGCTCGGTGGGAGGCGTCGGGTACGAACCTCCAGCCCTGGAACCGTTGAGCCCGATGGGCCAGGCTGTACCCGTAGCGGCTGAGTATCTCCCGTTTGAGTATGTCGTAGTTAGCCGCCTGTTCGTTGTTCAGGTCCCAATATGCCTCCAGAGAGGAACGGGGCCAGCAGACTTGCCCACTTCGGACGTTCAAACGTACAAATGTGATCGTCTTCCGTTTGCTTGATTAAAAACTGGTTGGGATGGGATTCAGGAGACGCTCCTCCTTGCAGCTTCCTGACTTCCTTCACGAGGCGGACGTTTTGTAGTCACTGTTCCTCCAGCGTTCGTTCCTGAACCGCCCGTTGTGCTTGTTGGGCCCGGATGAACTGAGCTATCAACACGTCCATGCTGATGCTGTGTAAACGTCAACCCTGATCTGACCACGTTATCAAAATGCCTACATTCTCCACCACTTGTGGCAGATCAGGGTGTTGGGTCAAGACGTTTACACAGATCAGACACGAACAGAGTATGATTAGCTCGGTTTCAAGGGTGTTTATGAATAAAATAATCAAAAGAAAAGGTTAGGTCTCCCCCATGAGATCCTCTCCAGGATACCGTCTCCAACTACACAGACGTTACCTTACTTCCCCCAGTCCTCTCCCATGTGCTGCCCTTCTGGCAGCTTTATGGGCCTTGCACAGCTGGTGAACAATCCGCCCTTAATTACTCACCAGCTCCCAATCAGCCCCAATTAGTCCTGTCCGGAGAGCCCGTTCGAGACCTGGCACGTCCAGCAGATGGAGCCACCGCCTCGTGATGTATACTCCATCGAGTCTCCCCCTGGTGGCTGACCTGCTGTATGCCACAGGATATATATTTCTGCTTTGATAGTGTGTGGTCAACTCTCAAAACTAAAAGCACTAAGCTAATTTATCTAGTTCTCTCTCTCTCTCTCTCTCTCTCTCTCTCTCTCTCTCTCTCTCTCTCTCTCTCTCTCTCTCTCTCTCTCTCTCTCTCTCTCTCTCTCTCTCTCTCTCTCTCTCTCTCTCTCTCTCTCTCTCTCTCTCTCTCTCTCAGGTGGTTTGATAAGTCCTTTTCTGTGGTGGTGTACAAGAATGGGAAGAGTGGGCTGAATGCAGAGCACTCCTGGGCCGACGCCCCAACAGTGGCACACCTGTGGGAGGTGTGTGTGTCTATCTGTCAAACATAGGCATAATCAAATGGCACTTTTTTAGGACCTTTTCTTCTGATATTTTTAGCTACAGAACATAGAAATGTGCCGTTTTCACATTGTGTAGACACTAGTATGGTGCTGGAGATAAGAGGTTAAAAGGATGGGGGAATTCCCCATGACAGCCCAAATAACCTGTCCTCAATGGAGATAAAGCGCTTGGTTTTATTTAGAATAATCTGATCTTGCAGATGTTAGTGTACGTGTGAGGTAGACTACATATGGCCAGATATGTGGCTAAAAGTGCCTGTGGTTAAAAAGAGGTTAGCCAAGTTCAGGATGTTCCAGTTATTATCCATATGGGAAGTGATAAACATATTTGTTATTCGTTCTTGGCAGATAAAGTTTCTGTGTGTTCTAAACTCTGAACTTTGTGAGTCGGCTTTTAAGTGTGTGTAACGGCAGCTCTCTGTCTGTCCTCAGTTTACCCTGGCCACAGATGCCTTCCAACTGGGTTACACAGAGGACGGCCACTGTAAGGGAGAGGTGGAGCTCTCCTTACTGCCTCCTCAGAGACTCACCTGGGACATCCCTGTGGAGGTGAGAGTGCTGTGTGTGTGTGTGTGCATCGTTCCCTAACACATCCTCAGACCAGGGTTTCCGTTAGGAAAATGTGGCGCCGGAAGATTCAAATTTACCGTTCATTTGAGAAATGTACAGGCATAACCCATTAGGGTGTACAAGAATGACAGAAATCACATTTAGATTATGGTAATGCTCCTTAACAGAACATGTAACTCATTTAATGAAGCAGCCAATAAAACGTAATTTTCAAACATTTGCCAAAATGCAATTAGCGGGAAAACACCATTCTAAACAGCGCACCTGGGAAAACACCATTCTAAACAGCGCACCTGATAGCTGTTCCATATGGGACAGAGATGAAAATCTCTGTTAGAAATGTAGAAAGAGGGGGACTCTAAAGATGCAACAACTAGGATGTGCTACTAATATGACTAGGATTGTGCCTTTGGCTTCTGGACAACAAAATAACATTGATATGAAAACCAATAGAACAGGAGAGTAATGGCATAGCGGTGGGTCCAATAGGGAAGTCAATGGAAATACATTAGCCAAAATTATATAATTACTCCTGTCTATATATAAATAATTAAAATCATTCAAAATAGTTCACCAGAAAGCGTGACTTGGCCACAGAGGAATCGAGGATTATTAGCTTCTTTAAAAAAAATAGCTCGTAGGCCTATGACTATTTGGGAAGCCCGCAATTTGGGCAGCGCGCGTGGCAATAGGCCTAGCTGATTATTGTGTGTGAAGATAATGTGTCTTGAATATCATTAAAAATGTTGAGACAAGAAGAAGGGAGGGGTGTGTGGTGAAGATATAGACAAATCACCCGCCAAATCAATTCCCCATTACATATGTCACCAGTAGTAAATGTACCATTAATCCCTGTAATTTGGTTACATACATTTCTCTTAGTGCATGTATCAATTACAGTCATTTACCGTTGTAATTCTCGGAGTGGAAACATTGTTTGCGGAGTTCACAACCTGCTAGACTTGTGAGAAACAAGTTTTGGTTTATTTCATCATTTCTGAGATTTGTAAATGTTTTCATTGTCTTTTGTTTGGAATGCTCCATGAGTATATCTCTGTCCTGATCATGTTGAGGGAGGGCGTGCGCAGTACCTGGCCTGCTGCATGGAATTGTAGGGAAGTTCTTTTTTAACATCATTGCGAATGATACTATATTAAAACTATAGCTCCTCACAGTAAGCTATTTGAAATATCTTCCAATCTCCCCCTTGATAATCACCAATCCTCGGTGTGAAAGAGAAATGGAAGTTATAGGCCTACTGATGTATTGGCTATGAGTTCCATGTGCTCATTTCTATAGCCGCCAATGGATCACGGTGTATCAATGTGTCCATATGGCAGAAGCTAGTGATCTTTCGTTAGTTGACTTTTTTGATTTTTGTCATGTTTTTAAGAAACGAAAACATTAATGAAATGAAGCTGTTCCATGAAAATCTGCATATGAAAATCAGAACTGGAACTCAGAACGGTAAAAGTGGTAGGATAAATTGTAAGCTTGCCCAAACTTTAAACTCACACGCTGCCTATTCAATTGCATCCACATTTTCATGGTTGGATTTTGCCTATAGGCTAATTTGAAGCAAGGTAAGAGATGCCTCATAATATGAAATAAAACATTCAGGTTTCAAACAATTAAGTATGTTTTCTAAATGCATACTGCCTCCAGCTCACATTGTAAAGTGGTGGGTGACGCGCTGATAGCCTGTTGCCTGCACTTGAATGGTGAATGGTAGGCGCGCTTCAATTACTAGTTGAGAAATAAAAATAGTAGCTCTTTTTAATTGTGTACCAGCTGAGGAGGTGCAGGAGAAATCTCACTCAAAATATGCTCTGTATGCTGACTAATGAAAATACACACAGGCCAATTTAATTCCACTAAATTAGGCAAATTAACCTATAGACTAATCAGCTTTACCGGTCAAATGTATTTCCATCGACTGCTTTTTCCATCAATTAATAAAAAGCATACATTTGCATTGGGATTTCTTTTCTCCACGCCATTTTTGCCGGCAACAGCTTTATTGATATACTTTTTTTATCTAACTAACGGAAACCCTGCCGCCGACATCCTTTGGGAGGGGAGCATGTCTGTCTAGTGTCACTTGAAACACCCTGACAACATTGTCCAGCTCCCTCTCTCCTCTTCCTTTAGGGCTTGGATCAGTTCCTCTCTCTGTTTCATTCCAAGACTTCATGTCCATTGAAAGTTCTGAACCACAATTAATACATGTTGAGGAACCAATTCAGTGGCTTAAGTTGAATCTTTTAGTCAAAGTATGATGCAAAGTGTTAGCATGACCTCCGTGAGCCACAATTGGGTGAAAGTAGGGCTGTTGCGGTGACTGTATTACCGCCACACCAGCAGTCATGACCACAGTAAAATTCTATGTGACCGGTAATCTCCTCTTATGCCCTCTGGACATGCATTGGTAGTACCCAACTCGCTAATGATCATCAAGTCACTAATGGCCTGGTACTCAGGACTCTTGTCCCTTTAACTACACTGACATCAATTCAAATGCAATCTAAAATCACATCAAACACTTATCATCAAAACAGTATGTGCTTTTAAAACTCCCCTCACTGTGATTGATCAATTTGAAGAAAGAAGTTCAACAACAGGTTGAAACTGAGTGGGAAACATGGTCGTTGTGGATATTGTTTCAAAGCCTAACACAACAAAATGGAAAATGCTTTCTAAGGTGATGATTGCATGACAATAACCGGCTGACAAGATGTCATGACCACCACAGCCCTAGAATAAAGGCCTTCTCTTTTTGTCTTTCATCTGCTTCTTGTCTTTCATCTGAGAGAAGTGGCATTTCTCTCGCTCTCTCTCTCTTTCTGTTTGTTGCGGTTGGAGTTTTCCGTTTCCTCCTCTGCTTCTACCAACATTCAGAGAGTCAGGGAAACCCCCCCCCCCCTGCTCTACCTCCTCCACCTTCTACCTATATCTCCAATTTCTCTACCTACTTCTACCCCAGCAGTGCAGTGCTCTCCTACCCTGGCCTCTACTGTGTTAACTGCCTGTCTGTGGGAACACTGGGGAGTTTCACTCCTGGAAATTACCTCAATGTGCAGCAATGACTGACTGGCTGGTTGACAGTTACAGAGCTCAGAATTTTGCCTACATAATATACACACACACTGCCTGGTCGCCTAGTGACCGGGGAGTTTTGGGGGACTTTGCCCCCTGTTAATTATTAGATGCTCAAACATACTATCAGCATTCCTATGCTTATTAGAATAGTGACGCCATCACATTGATAACAGTATTGTGTGGAATTAATTACTTTCCAGTGTTTACCTTGAGGCTTGACTCAAACGCAAACAAAACTAACTGCCACTGCCCACTCTCCCTCTCAACCATTCCTGTACTCCCACTTTCTCTGTCTCTCTCTTTGCCTCTGTCTCTCTTAAATTAAAAAGTCTTTATTTTTATGGAAAGTGTTTGCCAAAGAAAATATAACAAAACAAGGAGGACGAAGAAAATCTTCATATAATTAAAATGCCTTTATTGTTATGGCGTGTTCGATGACGCGTTTCAGCATAGGCCTTCGTCAGGGTGTATCAACCTGCCTCACTCACACTCTGCTTTACTCACGCTCTGTGACAGTACCCTTAAGGATGTGTAGCATTGCATCTTGTTACAGTCAGACGTTATGCTGGTATGTTAAATAGGTTAAACACACACACACAGGTGCATCTGAACATCACATAGGATCAAAGGTCAAGTCGAGTCGCATTGCATCCCCCCACTGAGACGAGACATTCTCTCTTTAACTCAATCACTCACTCAAATCAAATCAAATGTTATTTGCCACATGCGCCGAATACGACAGGTGTAGACCTTACAGTGAAATGCTTACTTGCTCACACACCTGGACAGTGTGCCACTACCAACACGTTGTCTTCTTTATCTGTTCCTCTCTCTCTCTCTCTCTCTCTCTCTCTCTCTCTCTCTCTCTCTCTCTCTCTCTCTCTCTCTCTCTCTCTCTCTCTCTCTCTCTCTCTCTCTCTCTCTCTCTCTCTCTCTCTCTCTGTCTGTTCTTTCATTTCCCCTTCATGCCATCTCCAGTTGTCTCAACTCTCTATCTGTCTGCTTCATGAGGGCTTCCGTTTCTCAAATTCCCCTTATTAGTAACCCTCTTATTCCTTCCTCTTACCCCTTCCTCCTCTCCCTACGCTTTCCTCTTCTCCCCTTCATTTCCCCATCTCCTTCTCTCTCTCTTGTTTTTGGAAGTGGCCTCTGTCTCTGAACTGAAAATAAAAAGCACATGTGGTCTACTCTGCCCTGGCTGGTTGGATCGAACTCTTAAGTACTTGTGTGTCATGCCACTGCAAAGCAAACTACTCTCGATAGTAATGTCGACGATACTACAGACCAAAGCATTGGCTTTACTGAATGTTGTTGTCCATGCTCAAGTCTACTCTCCACTTTGATTGAGTTCCATTGCTCTGCAAGAGTAGCTTCCAGTTTGCAACCCAAGGAAAGAACAGAGGGGTATCCTACAAATCAGGTTTAAGGAGTTAGTGAGGTAACTTTAATAAACTCCCAGTTCAACCGGTCATGCTGGAGGATGTTGCAGGCAGCAGAACGTTCTCCACGGCGTCTCCAGACTCTGTCACGTCTGTCACGTGCTCAGTGTGAACCTGCTTTCATCTGTGAAGAGCACAGGGCGCCAGTGGCAAATTTGCCAATCTTGGTGTTCTCTGGCAAATGCCAAACGTCCTGCACGGTGTTGGGCTGTAAGCACAACCCCCACCTGTGGATGTCGGGCCCTCATACCACCCTCATGGAGTCTGTTTCTGACCGTTTGAGCAGACACCTGCACATTTGTGGCCTGCTGGAGGTCATTTTGCAGGGCTCTGGCAGTGCTCCTCCTGCTCCTCCTTGCACAAAGGCGGAGGTAGCGGTCCTGCTGCTGGGTTGTTGCCCTCCTACGGCCTCCTCCACGTCTCCTGATGTACTGGCCTGTC